TTTGATTGGTTTAGTTTTCTATGTAATTTTGATTTTTTTTTTTTTAATATAGGTTGGCACAGGGGTACCTTGACATTCCTAAATTGTAAATAGGTTACTAGCTAGGGTTCTCTCTTGACAGATGTTTAAAGTAATTTTGTTTTTATAATAAAATGTTGTTATTGTGTGCCTCTTATGGTTGTCAGCCCAAACGTTATGCAAGTTGTCCACGAGACCAAAACCTGGGTATTATTATATAAAGCGCTTGTCCCCAATTGTCCAAAGGCTTCTTCTTTATGCACCTCTATCATTTTGTTTTTCTACACCCTTATAAATCTTTTTTTTTTTTTCTTTTTTCATTTTTTCTATTTTTTTTTAGAACTACTTTTGTTTTAGCATTCACATCATTATATCTATATTTTTCTATGAACAATTTTTTTAAATTTACCGATTGAATTGAAAAGGTTGCTTCGAAATCATTAGATTACTTTTATAAATTATTGAATTTTGTTGATTTTCGCTCAATTCTTGGAGGTTTTACTTGAATATCTTTATAATTCATATAAAATGATCAAAATATGTTTTTTACTAATTTTTGTTTGAAATTCTAAAAAAAATTTTCACTCTTTTCATCCTCTATATCTTAATATTTCCTCTATACTTCCATAACTTTTTTATCTTTGTGTAGTTGCCCTTTCATTTTTATTGGAGATCATTTTCAACCCATAAAGTTAGAAACAATTAATGTTTTTGTATATGTTACAGAGTAATCGTCCGCATGTCCATGGAAATTGGACAAAAAGTATATATAATAATTCATATTGCTTAATTTGAAACATATTTCTAAACTTGAAAGGGAGTTATAAAACAACTAATTCATAATGTAATTTTAAAGTACCCAATCCAGAAATATATTTCAAATTGTTTCCAAACTCATTTTCATATTGAATATTTTAAAAATGTATTATGGATTGAGTGTTTCATAAATAAATTCTAGAGCAACCAATTTAGAATACATTTTTAAAATAATCAATCCAAAATATATTTTGTATTAGTTGTTCCAAAACTTAGTTCTAAACTGGGTATTCTAAACATACATTCTAAAACCACCGGTCTAAAGTATTTATAGAACATTCAATTTAAAAAGATAGAGGTGAAAATAATAATAATAATAAAGGTATAAGAAGAAGCAAAGTTGTCCACAAAATTTAATAATATAAAAGTTTCCTTCTTTTGAAATGAAAAATTTAAAAACATATTCATTCTAATATTCCATCATATGTAAATATCATATCTATAAATGGATACCCAAAACTCACAAAGAATCCTAATTGGAAGCATTCAATATTTCATTAAGCCAAGACCCGTACAATTATAATAATATGCAATAGAAGGGAGAGAAAGAAAAAAAAAGGAATAATTTTATTCTACTCCTTTTATATCTCTTTAATATTTATCTTGTGTTAGATTAATTTATTAAAAATTCATTTGGCTAAAAGAAAACTAGTAACACCAAAGGAATAAGAATATTTAACATTTATAGGATAACTTTATTTTATTTTTTTATTTTTTCATGATCGTTAGATTATAAATTTTTACATGAGATAGAAGACTTTTCACAATAATAAAGGGTATTTTGATCGATAATAAAATAATAACTTTTAATTCAAGACAATAATTAAAAAGAAAGATAAATTTTAACTCTCATATTATATTATATTATATTAAAGTTCTAACATAAAATCAATTAATAATAATACAAATAAATTATACGAGACTTTTAATAAATTATGATAAATATTTGTATTTTGTATTAAATATTTTTATTTGATTTTCATACATTATTAATTATTCTATTAAACTTTTAATCATTACTATAAAAAAAGTTGTTAGTTTTATGTCCTAAAGTGTGTCTTTGAGTAACACAAAACAATTCATCATCACACTTGCCTATTATTTATTGAGAAGAAATTTCACAAATCTTGACTAGTGTAATAATAAACATATTCAATTAGTCATGATTTCCATAAAATCAAGATTTTCTTTAATTAAAACCATAAACATCAATATTCTCTTTACTTAATGATTTATTTGATATAGAACTAACTTTATATTTAAAAGTGAAGATTAAAAATTTAATAGAGTAATTAATATTATGTAAAAACGAGACAATATTTTAATTGTATTATATATAAATATTTGCAATAATTTACTAATGTGAAATATATATTTTATAATTGAATTAAAAAAAATACAACAACATTTTTTTAAAATAAATGAAATTATTTTATGTCGAACTGTATAAGGTCTAACGTAAAAATTGAATCTTATACCTTTTAGGGCTTCTTCTTTCTCATAGCGTGAGAGTTATTTCTACAAACGATGACGAGACTAACTTCAGGAGGACTCTAAGACCGTTTTTCGACCATGGTGAGTAATAAGAACACTAATATTGTAATCTATTTGCGGTATTGGACATTTCTTTTCTATTGGATTGAAATATTTTAACCTTTTTTTTTAAGATTGAGATTAGTATTTTATAACTCTACTTTTTTATTGAAATTGAAGTTGGAATTACTTTTGAGAATAGTTATCAAAACCGGATTGGACCAACTGGTTCAACCAATTGGACTAGGAATCGATCCAATAATCGATCCGATAACCGGTCCGGAACTCCCTAAAAATTAGATGATTAATAAATTGGTCAAAAATTAGATAAACCAGTTTAAAATCGAACGGGTCAAGGGATTATCCTTTTTTTTTTCAAAAAAAAGGGTTAAATGACGTCGTTTTGTCCTATATTTTTTGTTTTATTTCTTTAGTTTAACATAGAGACACACAAATGTGAAAATAGAAAATTATTTTTTGTACTGGTGATAGTATTTTTCTTTCATTACAGTCTTCGTTCTTATAACTGTCATTGCACCGCCACTTATTACCTTTGATTGTCTCCTTTCGGTATCGTCCTTATTGTCTACTATTATCATCATTACAATCATTCATGAAAATACAATAACATGTAAGAATTACAATATATTAACTTCAAAAATTAATTTGATGAATGAACAATAGGTTAAATGCAGTGAGTTATCCTTGGATTCTATAACCATGCCTTGAAATAAAACAAAATGTATAAAATTTGAAGTTAGATGAATAAAAGATATATAGTTTTTTTCTCTATTTATTTTCAAGTTAGGTGCAATGACAATATTTTTTCTCTAATTACTTTGTACTCCAAGTATTTTATAATATGTTTATTCATGTTACTTCTTTTTATGTATTCTATAATTCATTTTTATTATTATATAATATTATTTTAAATAATATTTATATTAGATGGAAATGATTATATTGTGATAAACTTATTTTAAGTTTAATATATTATTAAAATATGTTATTTTATTAAACTCCGTTCAATTTTGATTTAATTTTTATTAAATTTTTGAACTTCAAGCCCGTATATTTATAGTTTGATGATTGGTTTGATTTTAAGAATAAGGACTCTTGACAATCTCAATCGGAATAATATATGGATGTTTTTTCTAAATTGTTAATATTGATATTGAAATGGTGACTATATACTGATAATAAAATAACAAATAAAATTACCCATAAATTTTTAATTCCAGAATTCATAAATTAATTATATTGAGAATTGTACCATAAATTTTTGTGCTTTTTCTCTTTCAGAAAGAGAACTTTTAATAGCTTCCGTTTTTGTGTCTAGCAACGGAGCTTTGGTGGTCTACAAGTAGCAAAGTTGCTTGCCACTCGACAGATTTAGTGGAGAAAATTGTTCCCACTACCCTACCAATAAAATACATGACTACAACCTTTCAGCTGGTTTCCTTGTTGAATATGATGACTTCCACTCCCAGCAACAGCAGCCAATGTGCAACTACTAGTGTTTTACTCTTATATTAGACTTTGGCTAGACAAAATATTACGGGCAATAAAACATAAATTAACACTAGACCACATGCGAATCATTTATCATTTAGAAAATTTGCACCTGATAGAAGGTCAACCTTTCTAAGAACTCATGTGAGTCTTGTCTATGTCTAATGAGAGTTACAGCAGGGTCCTTTAATTTGAGTGACTTCTGCTTTATCTAAGTTTCAGACATCACATGACACTTTTCTTTTACAATGGGGGTATCTTTAAATTAGTGTAGGCTTTTCTGATTAAGTGACTAATGTCTTATCAGTCTAAAAATATCTTTTATTTATAAATATTTTAGTTACTAATGTGAAACGCGAGAATTGTTCTTGAGTGATATCTTAGCACTGTAAGGTGGCTAATTGCTGCCACATTTAGTGCCTACCATCTGTTTTCCTAATAATTTGTTGAGATACCAGTGGAATCAAGGTTCAAATGTTAAGTGCTGTTGCCCCTTGTGAGTTAGTAGGATGTATACCTACCTATTCTGTCTCTATACTGTTCAATATGCCCTTTGCATTTCCCACTACCCTTTGACTTCGATTGATCTACAGGTTTTACTTCTCCAAAGATTCTGTGTCACCTTTCCACTTCCATAGTGTGCTCCATTTTTACTTAAAATATAACTTTGATGTCTACCTAACACTTCTCAGCACCTCAACTTGAAAATTATTAGATGATTCAGGATCATTATGGTTTATATTAATATCTATATAACACACAATTAATTGTTATTAATGTTCTATTGCAAATTGAAAAACATAAACAAGTAGTATGTAGAAATTGATCAGAATCATAAATACATGATGATTCTGGACTATCTAATAATTTCTGAAGATACTTTGGGTTTTCACATACGAAAATGCCACAAGCTGGTAAAAGCGAGTGGAAACACGTTGTTCCCCAAGAAATGATGGGTTGCTATCACCTTTAGGACTTTGGTAACATGATTGCTCCTCCATAATGGGTTTTCCATGTTAAAAAAAATATACAGAAAAAATGTTGTGTACAAGTATAAATTGAGAACTAGCATACGGGAAGCAACGCAACCCAGAGGTTGTTGTTGAGAAGTGCAATACAAGATGGCAGGCACCTTCTTTCGTTTATTCGTGATTCTTCTAGGGCTTTCTCATCTTATGTGCTTGAAAGCAGTACCAGTTTCAAGTAAATTCTACTTCAATATTTCTAATTTTATTCTAGTGGAGTTGTAGTTCTCCCTCATCTTCTTACAGGTGTCTTGTTTAGCAGGAATTGAAAACATTATGCAAGGCCCGCAGGTTCACCTTACAATGGAGAAGAGTCACAAGGTGGTGGTGCACTTTGATGCCCTATGATTGATTATTCCTTTGTTGTCTAAGACACGTAGTGCATATGTTTAACCAGACATCATGTCTTATGTTCCATTCATTCAAATACAGGTTATCACTGAGAAATACTGGCACTTGGAGGAACTAACCATTACTGGGAGGATGGAATTGGAACTCCACGACTATAACCCATCAGGGCCTAATGGTCGTCACACTCCAAGAGCACCATAGTGTGTGAAATGGTGTGCTGAATGATAGTTTCTCTAGGTAGCTGGTAGCCATAATTGGTCAATTCTGGAGGCAATCTGTTATGTATGATGAGAGAATGGATTAACTAGAGTTGTATCCCGCTGTCTGGTATGATTATATGAGAACTCAAACTCATGTTTAAGAATAAATAATATATGCACTCACAATGAGTCTTTTATATTATCAACTAATCACAAATTATCATGCTAGAAGTCATGACAAAGATTATTTCTGATGAATTGATATCATAAATACTTTTATACCCGTCTGTTTCAATAGTAGCATTTGTTAGGATGTACTTGGTTAAAAGTTATAACTTTTAGTGAGATCAAGAATCGAACTGATGAACTTGATTCTGATACCAATTATTAATGTTTACTACTTGACCAAAAAGTTATAACTATTAATCAAAGTGTAAAGAGTTACAGTTCAAACACCACGATTCGATTTTGATTCGGTTCATCGGATATCCGTCACCGGAAAATTGATATTACCTGCAACGATATTAGAGCTTGTTTGTGCAGTAAAATTACAAAATTTATATTTCACTGGTTGTATCTACAAAACAATGGCTTGTAACAGAGCTATTCTGTTTTCTTAAGGATTCTCACTCAAAGAATCCGTGTGGGCAACAAAAACCACCCACTAATAAATCTATGTAGAAAAAACGTGCATAGATCTTATTTTATCTTATTTTGGTAATACCACAATACATGCATGTAACTAAAGTAAGTCTCTGACATAGCAACGGATCATTCATGGTGCCAAAAACCCTCCACCCCAATATTAAAGTCGCCAAATAAACAATGATTTATGTGAATAGTTGCTTACGAGTTAGTGATACATTAAGCATAAACAGACAAATAGCCTTTCGTTTTGGCCCTTATTTTGTCCAAAACAGTAATATGTAGATTTAAAAGTGAAGAACCATTTGTCCACCGAGAGCAAGTTGATAGGGATTGCATAAACATGTTCTTGGAAAGTGAAATCGAAACAAATCCAAAATGCTTATTTAATTTAAGTAATCATGTTAGTTGGCCACTAAGTACACTTGAAGAATGTCTCATAGCATATTTTAATATTGATTTGTGTTATTTTCAGCGGAGAAAGCGATGCATAATGTTGATGGGGACATACTTTTGTCTACCACTCCCCTATACTTCCTTTCTCAAACATATCCTAGAAAAGTTTAAGGCCAATATAAGTAATGCATATGAAGTTAGTGGAATTAAGTAGAAGCACGTAAGTATGGAGTTTTGATTTTAATATACTTGATGTGCATAAAGTAATGGTAGCAGAAAATTAGAAGTATAGGACGTAGCGTTCAGGTGTAAGCCACAGGACGTCTCACAGAGATCATATTCTATGTAGATACATAATCTCTTTGCAATAAATATCACAGAGATTAGGATATGAAACAGGTCCACGTTAAAGTTGTGTCATGATTTTTGGAATTGTAAACTGACTGCAGTATTTTTTACAATCCAGATAGGTTTTTCATATAAAGCAAACGGAATAAGTTTAATTTCCACAACTAAAAGTTTTCCAACCCTGAATCTTCTGTCCTCAAAAGGGGTGCTCTTAATTTGCATGCTTTCAAAACTAGTAGTTATGACGTTGTCACTTGTGTGGAATGCCATGTGAGGAACGAGAGATGGAATAGGAGGCGATGAAAAATTATCTAGGTCCCAGTATCCATTTAGCACTTTGTCTGCATAAGCGCCAGAGATGCACCTAAAGATACTAAACTAATGCACTCAAAAGTTAAGTACTGATCATAATTAGTCAATTGCATACCCCAAATTAAGCTTTAGCTTGCAAAGGATTGTGTCTGTCTATGACTTTATTTACTTTTTATTCAGATACTAATGCTTAGCAAAATGACCTATTGTAACCAATTTAAAAAGGGCAAATAAATATGAAGGCTGAAAGAGTCAAGCTAAACTTTATCAGAGCAAACCTAGAAAAATCATAAGTTTAAGTTAGTGCAAAGAAATCCTGATTGTAAAAAATGTATTAGATAAGAAATAGTGAAGTTTACCAAAATCTTCGTGATATTGTTTTGAAAAACTTTTGACACTGACTTGATCAGTAATACGGAAATTTTGACTGTTTATTTGTTGCCTCTATCATCTCTTTTAGAGTCTAAGAGGTTAATATACATGAAGGTTCTAGTAAGTTTTCTCTCGTAAAATGTACACTTTATCGCTAATGCTTTTCAGACAAAATTATTTCATTCTTCAACTGCTTCACTTTATCTCTCTATATGTGTTAGTACGTGCCCACCGTTACCATGCAATTGCTATCGTACTGAAATGTACCAATTGCAGTGAACTGCCGAACATTCTTTGAATATGTTTCAGAATAGGGTTGACCCAAACCAATTGGTTCTTGAGGTTAAAAAGATAAGAATCTTTTTCATGACCATAAAAACTTAAATAGCGGCAAATGATACAGTTCAGCTAAACCGATTTTTTTGAACCTGATCAATATACTATTATGGTTCAACTTATAGAAGAGAATACAGAATTACACACATAACTGGTGGGTTACATGTGCAAAGCAAAATGAGAGGAAAAATTGAAGGTTCTTTCTTGTTTTCTAACATGAAATTATATATGATTATTAAGACAGACTATTATGTATAACTGACTGGGACACTGGTAATCAAACATTAAACAATAAAATCTTGAATCATTGGTCTTCTGGAGATGGAGCAACAGCAGGAGCTGGTGAAGGTGCACCTCCTTGATCAGAATTTAGAAGTCCAAATTTCTTGATGAGTTCATTTGCAATTAGCTCATTAGCACTGTCAGTGGGGTGGTACTCATCCCAAAAGACATATTTGCTTCTATCTTTGCACAGACTTGATGCAGGTACACATGTAAGGGCGGGTCGAATATTCCAAAAAGAACAACATGGTGAGTCTGAGTTTTGAAATCCTACAAAGCAAACGTAGCCATGGTGTAAATAACTCTCCTAGTCAGCACACAAGTTCAGTTTTTTATTTTGTGATCATGTATCATATGTTGGCAATTCTTCAGAAAATAACAACATTGTGAAGCCTTCAGATGTTCCAAAGCATAATGGAAATTCAAATGATTTATGCAATGTACTTTCATTGTTTTAAAGTGTTTCACATACACAGTATGTGTTAGGTTCATTTAGTTAATTGCCAATATTGTATGAATCCTGTTTGTGAAGAAAGTAACATATTTACTTACCATACTTATTTGGATTGTTAATTACATCATAAACAACATCATAGGCATCTCCGAATCTATAGGTTGAATCAGGAAAATGCTTCGCCAAGTCATCTACTAACCCGCTTACAGCTTTGTTGAAGGTAAGAGCCAGCTTGTTTGCCGTTTCTCTACAATTCCCAGTTGTGCTGAGCACCCTTTGAAGGGGAATGCAGCCCATTGGACCCAACCCAAAAACCACCAGTTGTCTTGCTCCTAAACTATGAAGTAACTAAGCACAAACATAGCATAATTCAAAAGATTTTCATTATTGGATGCAAAAAGAAAAGAAAAAGTCGTGTTAGGATATAGACTAAGTAAACCTTTAGTTGTCTTTCCAATGTTCCTATCAAGTAGTCCATGAAGGTTTCATCATTGTATGTCCATGAATCACTGTAAACTGGCATCAAGTAGTTGTTGATGAAGTCATTGCTCCCTAAAGCAACAACATAACGAGCTTCCTTGAAAAACTTATCAGCGGCCGTATTTCCAATTTTACCTATAATTAACTCTTGCGTCCCCTGAAATAGCTCAATTTGTTTGTCCAGGGAAAACTTTTGGATCTGCAAGAAGCATAATTTTTATTCAAAGATGATTGCATAAAGGCTATAAGATACGTAGTGTATGAATCTTGACACTCACAAAATAGGCACCGGTTTCGTTCAAGATGCCGCCGCCACCGGAAGCATAGTTCACCCCATTTTCTAGTATAACTTTTTCACTTACAGATGGATCCAGGAATGCAGGAGGCCTAGGTAGGCCAGTACGGTCACCTGAAATGTAGAACATTAGTATTAGTATGCTGCCAGAAGCAATAAAAAAGTGCCACCATTTCTAAATAACATGACAAACTCTAACTCAAAATTCTTCACATGTTAACACTGTATGAATAATATATGTAACCTTAGAAACTAGAAAGTCAAAGTTAAAATCTTAGCTGCACTGACGTGGATTTGAAATATATTCAATTGGGTAGTAAGGTTTAAAAAACTCAGGCAGAAAATTTAAAGGAAGCAACCTTTCACTTTTGGCAAAATATTGAAAAAGAATCTTGCCACACAGAGGCTTTCTGAGAATTCAACAACCCAAATGCTCATATCTATTGGGTTAAATTCTTGCATATCCACTGATTGCAAAGTGCTTGCATGTGAAAAGTAAAAGGGTTACCTATTATGTCAGCAACTGTGCGACCATTAGTGAACCTTCCATTAGGTAACCCATTTCCCATGTCTATACCATACCAAGGCAAGCTTGCTTGAGCAAGGCTTCTATTGAGATGCATGTTATTTCCAACATCCGAGAGTGAGTCTCCAAAAATGAACTGCACAACCTTGCTATCGCATCCATGAAGACCAATTCCCAAAATGGTAGTTACTACAATAACCAATGCAACATTGAAGTCCATGTTTGTCTAGCAAGCTATGCCTTTTTTGCTATTCTATCGACATTAAGCATTTGGGTTGGTTTTTTATACTAGCTAGCTGCTAGGAATTTTGAAATTTTAATTTGAGGTGATGAGATTGTTCTAAAGTTTGGCAGCAACATAGAGAAAATGTTATGGGCATTCAAAAGAGAGAAGTAGGTGGTTTGATATACCAACCTTTATATTGATTCAATGCAACTGCAACTACCCATGACACGAAAGAAGAATTAAGAATGGGAGAATGTGGAGTGAGATTTCAAATTGAATTCTCAACAAACCGGTGGATTTCCTTGGATTGAATTGTAACTTGTAATGGTAAGTTCACCAAACCGGAAAACAGATGTTGTCTAAAACACAAGTAGCGAAGCAATGTGTAACAGACTCAACGTAAAGATTGAAGCTTTCACCGAACATAGTCACATGATTCGCAATTCTCTTATGTACATGTAAGCACCATGTGACCTCACAAACAATTCGTATGTTTCGGTATTAATATATAAATTATTATATTGTTAATAATTTTTTATCTATATTTTCCTCTCTCTGTTCATTTTTATTTATCTTTTAACGTTGTTTAATTCTAATAAAATAATTGTATAATTCTCCATTTTACTCATTTCTTTCTCCATCTAACACAATATATACATATTTAAATTATTTTAAAAAACAAACAGAAATAAAAAAACTTCAAAAATCTCACATTTAAAAAGAAACAAAGTATATGAGTTTTTACTATTTCATTTTTATTAAGAAATTTTTAGACAAATAATTAAACATTTCATTTAAATAACATTTCTACTATTGACCTAGGAGATCTCTCAATAATCAAGTATTTATGATTCTAAGTGCTAATAGAGTTTAGCCTTAAGGATCATCCTTAGTTGTTATCATAAAAATATTAAAACATAATAGAACACTTAGTTTAGAACGTGAGAAAATTACTAAATACCAATATAACTCTAAAGCACTAATAGACAAACAAATGTTTGGCTACACAATTTGACGGTGCAACATAAAAAGAGCATGGAATTGACTGCACCAAACAAAATTTAATATGATTTAAAAGGAATCTACATGGAACCAAGTTTTATTGTGCATAAAACTCACACATAAAAACAAATTTCACATTTTAAAGCATACATGAATATAATAAAACAAAGAATGAAAGAATCAATCAGAAAAATTAAAACTTGTCAACAACAAAGTGTTGGTGTTGTTGTGATAAAAAAAAGAAGATGAAGAATGAAAAGTAAAAAAACCAAAAAGATCATCTTTGTGTTCATCGTACCCAAAATACACTTCATAAAACTAAAAAATTGGTCTAAACTACACAAATTCCTCCACACCCAATGCGAGTATGTAAAAAGAAAATCAACATGATTTCAAAATAAAGTATATGAAAAGAAAAAGACCAACATCAAAGAAGCAAATAATAAAAACTAAAACTTGACATTCAACATGATTTTATACTCGCACTTCAGAAAACTCCCAAGCAAAAAATAGTAAAAAAAATTGCCAATAAAATTAGGAAAACAGAAAATAAAATACCAAAGTAGAACATATTTGTGAGAGGGGTTGATATACTGATAATCAATCTTTTTACATTTGATAACTCTAATTTATTATTTAATAATTATTTTTAATTTTAAAGAGAATAAAAGTTTAAAAAGTTAAGGGTACTCATATAAATGTTACTCTTGTAAGTAAGGGTACTAAAAAAATAGAAAAAATTGTTTGACGTCTGTTTTTTTTATCAAACAATCAACTTCAAATATTACTATAATAATATTTTTATTTAATTTTATTTTAATTAAAACATCTTATGATTATAATATTAATAAAGAAAATTGTTGATTAGATGTATTTTGAAATGGGATTGATCATATATAATAACTCCTAAAAATTATACTACGTTAAACACATGTTATTATTATGATAGATTGATTTTAAGAATAAAATAACGATTTTTTTTTAAAATTCCCAACAAGCAAAACATTATTATTTTTTGATAGAAGATATCAAAACCACAAAATAAACTACCACACATAATTTTTTTATAGAAACTAAAATTGAAATTCATCTATTAATTTTATAAAAGTTAAAATCATATTTAAATCAAATAAAAATATTAGAAACATGATAATATATATATATATATATATATATATATATATATATATATATATATATATATATATATATATTTTTAAAGTAGAAGATACTCAAATATATAATTTATAGCCTTCTTATGAGCATAAATATTTGGAGAATTATATAGGAAAATGCAAAATGATTCGATCGAACAAAGTTTACGCATCTCTTACGTACCTTTGTGCAATCTAAAACAGAAAGTAATGAAAGTATTTTTAATTTTTCTCATTTTCAGCCATCTTTCACATACGTTCGCTCTGATTCTTTGAACGTGAATCAGTGAAGTTGATGATGACGTCTCAAAACTTCAGTTAATTCATGGAGTGTGAACCACACTGCGAAGTGTTGAGAGAGCATTAAAGACCAACCACTCAGAACATAACGTGGCATCATGACAACCACTCAAAATAAAACCAACACCAAACAAGTCCAAGGAAAAGGACAAAGACAAACACTTCCCACAACATTCATCATCCCAAAATCTATCCACATCAAATCGCCACCCTCAATTCCATCCATCCAACGCTCACAAACGCCCTCAAATCCCAACCGTATCCCCCAAACAAACACACATACATTAAAAAAAAAAAAAATCAAACCCCTCTCACTCTATCACTCTCACTCCCCACTCCTCACCATGAATTCTATTGCTCTCAAAACCTTCGTCGGACTCCGGCAAACCTCGCCGGAGGCACCGCATTTCGCTGCCCAGCCAAGGCTCCTCACTCCCCACCGCAAATTCAGGGTCGTGGCCGGGAAATTCAGCCCCAAGCTGCAGGGGCGGAACCTGCGAGTCGCGGTGGTGGGCGGCGGTCCTGCCGGAGGCTCGGCGGCGGAGACGCTGGCGCAGGGAGGCGTGGAGACTTTCCTCATCGAGCGGAAGCTGGACAACTGCAAGCCGTGTGGGGGAGCGATTCCGCTGTGCATGGTGGGGGAGTTCGACCTGCCTCTGGATATCATTGACCGGCGTGTGACGAAGATGAAGATGATATCGCCGTCGAACGTGGCGGTGGATATCGGGAAAACGCTGAAGCCGCACGAGTACATCGGCATGGTTCGGCGCGAGGTGCTGGACGCTTACCTGAGAGAGCGGGCGAAGGAGAATGGGGCCACCATCATCAACGGGTTGTTCTTGAAAATGGATATTCCGAAGGATAACAACACTCCTTATGTTCTCCATTATTCTTCCTACGATAGCAAAAGCGGTGCGGCTGGTGAAAAGCGTACCTTGGAAGTTGACGCTGTCATTGGTGCTGATGGCGCTAATTCTAGAGTCGCCAAGTCTATTGATGCTGGTGAATACGAGTATGCCATCGCATTTCAGGTACTACTATATTTTTTCTTCTACTTCGTTCAACACACTCTGTAATATGTTTTATGGACTTTATATTGTCATTGATTAAGTTTATAAAATTATGAGGGAAACCTGTTTAATAAGAAATATGTCCCACAAGTTTTTTCCTTTTTTTCGTGAATTTTTATAAATTTCAGCGATGAAAAGTGTGTTCAAAATTGTTGCTAGGGTTTGTCATTACCAAACATTTTCTCATGTTGTAATTGGTTTCCAATTTTGGCTCCATTGGTCAAAATTGGTCGTGACATTGTCAAATCAATCAACTTTATCTTGTAGTAAATTTGCTGTCTAATGTTAAGATCTCATTGAAGCATGCCAAAGCTACTTATCGAGTTGTCTACTAGATGCCAAAAATTTGCTTATAACTTTTCATAGTGTCATGAATAAAATTATCTGGTGATGAAATTTTTATGATTTATCTGTTAAAATTTCCTTTTTTCAATTAAAAGAATGTAGGGCTTCTGATTTATGAATTTTGATGGCGGAGAATGCAGTGTGTATGTTGTGTGTTTCAACTTTCGAAGTGATTTCATTTGCGTGCGAGTGTTGATGTTATGATTTAGGGAAGGTAACAGTGCCATGTTTCGTTTTGATTGCATCGTTTCTCAGGAGAGGGTGAAAATTCCGGATGATAAGATGGTGTATTACGAGAACCTTGCGGAGATGTACGTGGGAGATGATGTTTCTCCGGATTTCTACGGGTGGGTATTTCCAAAATGTGACCATGTGGCTGTTGGCACAGGTACTGTGACACACAAGGGTGACATCAAGAAGTTCCAACAAGCAACAAGGAAAAGAGCAGAAGACAAAATTTTGGGAGGCAAGATCATCAGAGTGGAGGCTCACCCTATTCCGGAACATCCGCGGCCACGAAGGTTGTTGGGGAGAGTGGCCCTGGTGGGTGATGCTGCTGGCTATGTCACCAAATGCTCCGGAGAGGGAATCTATTTTGCAGCCAAGAGTGGGAGGATGTGTGCAGAGGCAATTGTTGAAGGTTCAGAGAATGGGAAGAGGATGGTGGAAGAAGGGGACTTGAGGAAGTACTTGGAGAAGTGGGATAAGGCTTATTGGCCCACATACAAGGTGTTGGATGTGCTTCAGAAGGTGTTTTATAGGTCCAATCCTGCGAGGGAAGCGTTTGTGGAGATGTGTGCTGATGAGTATGTGCAGAAGATGACCTTTGATAGTTATTTGTACAAGACAGTGGTGCCTGGCAATCCACTGGAGGATCTGAAATTGGCCATTAACACCATTGGGAGCTTAGTGAGGGCCAATGCGATTAGGAAGGAGATGAAAAAACTTAACGTATGACAATAGTCATCATCTGTCTATCTCTGATATATTTATAATTCTTTTTTGCATTATGTATTTCCTAGTGAACTTGATCTCCTTATAATCAAGTGATATGACAACTATATATGTACGTGTAAGCAAAAGGATTGAATTTTCATGCAATCCCATAACACTTTTGCACCTTTTATCTACCATGATTGGAAAGCGAAAGAACTATTCAAGGATCACTCCTCTGACACCTCTAGCCTTTGTTGTTATCAGCTACAGATGAACATTTCGGCTCTCAAGTTGTGCACTTTGGTGGCTTAACCTATTTCAAGTTGAAAAATATGTGCTATGAACTGACTTTCTATCCCATGTATAGTGAAATGGGTAAGGGCTAAGGGCTAAAATTATTGAATTATCGCATTTGGGTGACTCTAATTAATAATCGAAAATAGGAGAGATAACATGGATGAAGTAGTTGTTTGTTCCTGATTTTAGCGAGGGTTGTGATTATCAAGAAGGTGACGTACCTTGATTCCTCCACCTTCTCATCTTAAAAAAGTGATTTGAGGTTAAATACAATGATGTGTCCATGCCAATGATGTAATGATAGGCACAGCTGCAGTACAAGTTTTTCATTTGTTGATTTTATACACTTTTAACAATGGGTGGCCTTTACCTCTTGGTTGTATTCAAGGGTCGACGTTGGTACTCTTTTACGTAATATTTCGTATCTTCTGTGCAATTGAACATGCAATGCATTTTTTATAAACTTGGCAATGTTATTTGCCGTGTTTTGGTGGTATGGTTTTGTAATGCAGTAATAACAAGTAAAATTTCAAACGGACAAGGGAGGACGATGAAGTTAACTTGAAGTTCCGAGATTCTCCATCGCATACCAACCCAAATTCTATCAAATAATCGTTTGTTTTCAGTTTTTTCAAAAATTTAACTAAGTTATTTTTTTCCTACGTAAGCAAAATCAACTTTTATAAAAAAATAGTTATAGTAACAAGTATTACATTAGAGATATAAATTTTTCGATTCATCATCTTAAAGTAATAAAAGTTTCTTTCAAAAATAAAATTATTGTATTAATATAATCTTCATATAAATTATTTTAAATTAAAGAGAGTTATGCATAGGAACTACCATTGCCTTGTAAGAAGAAACTACCATTTCCTAACACAAAATCAAAATTAGGTGTTTGAATAATACGTAAAGAAAAACAATTCTATCCTACAAAATTAGGCGATATCATGAAAGAATATATAAATGTTTATTTATTATTTACTTTTTACCATAGAAAAAAATATTTTAATTAAAATATAACATCAAACTATTTTGAGTGTGTTTAAATAATATATCATTGAAATCTCTTTAATTGTTCTCGAAGGTAAAAGTATTCGAAATATAAATTGATAATCCTCTTTTTTTTTAATCTTCTAATAAATTTATTTAATAATATAATAATAATTTTTTAATTGAATCTTTTATAATTATTATACTAATAAAGAGATTTGTCTAATAGAAGCTCATTTAAGTGTATTTAGCAGGCATGTAATTCTTCCCTTTTGTGAGTCATAATTGGACATGATCTAAGATTAAAATGTAAATCTCAAAAACAAATTAAAAAAAAGAAGAAGAAGAAGTTCGCAATCTAATCTAAACAATGGTATTATTACGAGCATGACCAATTATAGCCCATGTGCACTAATGATAAAAAGGAAATATAGGTAGAAGATAAGCAAATAGTGATTTATTAAACATTGCCTTCATTATATTTTTATTCAGATAATAAATCCAGTTTTTATTTCTGAAATAAATAAATAATTTTAGTTTTTAAAATTAAAATTAAAATTTTAAAATTTCTGTTTTATTAGAATAACAGTTTAAAAACATAGGTAATTTTTTTAATTTAATTTAAAACTAAAAAACATAGAATCTGAAAAATAAAAATTGTTCTAAGTTTATAAGAATAAAAATATAAGTAAGAAATATATAAGTAATAGAAAAGAAAAATAAAAAATGGTATAATAAGAAGCGTGATGGGAAGACGTGGCAGCAGAGAAAATAAGCATTTTGGGAGTGGATTCTTTTTCGCTTTAGCGTTTGGTAAGGTAAGGTTTATGCAAAGTGTATTTATTCAGCGTTCGGCTGGAGCTTGCATTCATCCACCATCCACACCAATACAATCCTACAGGCGGAGATTTCAAACCTAACTTCGCTTCTTAAGTCTCTTCTTCTTTTCTATCCCCATTCATTCCTTCGTTCATTCCCAGGTACGATTTTCTCTCTTCTCTTCCCAGATCTCAATCCAACCTTCTAATTCCAGATCTGTTCAAGCGTTATTCTCTTTTCTATTATCAATGTTGCAATTTCCATTCGAAATTATGCTCTCATTAACTAATCTCGACCATGCATGTTAGTTTTCAGCTTTTCGATGCTTCACGTGATTTGATTACGCTATTTAGCTCCAACCTCTTTGATTGGTTCGGTTGGGGTTTAGCTTACATAATTCTGTTGCCTTATGTTTTATTATTTCTTTCGTGTTTTGTTAGCTTTCAGATAGGTTTGTGTTGGTTAGTGGAACGTATCGCAGGTTGAGATGGCAGCGACACCAGCAGCTACTTTCACTATTGGATCCACCGGTTCCCTTGGCCAAAGAGGAAGCTCTCTTCCTCAATCAAGGTCTTTTGGGTTGAAATTCAACGCCCAGAATCCTTTGAAGAGTTTCTGTGGCCTTAAGGCTATGTCATCTGTGAGGTGTGAGTCAGAATTATCGTTCTTGGGTCACAAAAGTGTTTCTGCTCTGCGGGCATCTTTTGCATCCAAGGCTCGGAAGGAAAACAGCCAGAACTTCAACTACCAGTTGCAGCCTCAGGCTTCGTACAAAGTTGCAGTTCTTGGTGCTGCTGGAGGGATAGGTCAACCCCTCGCGCTTCTCATCAAGATGTCCCCTTTAGTTTCCGATCTGCATCTCTATGATATTGCAAATGTCAAGGGAGTCGCTGCTGATATCAGTCACTGTAACACACCCTCCCAAGTCAGGGATTTCACTGGAGCTTCTGAGTTGGCAAATTGTTTGAAGGGTGTGGATGTTGTTGTCATTCCCGCCGGTGTTCCAAGGAAGCCCGGCATGACCCGCGATGACCTTTTCAACATCAATGCTGGCATAGTCAGGGACTTGGTTTCGGCTGTTGCGGATAATTGCCCTGGTGCTTTTATTCAAATTATCAGTAACCCTGTGAACTCTACTGTGCCTATTGCTGCAGAAGTTTTGACACAGAAGGGTGTCTATGATCCTAAAAAGCTCTTTGGTGTTACCACACTGGATGTTGTCAGGGCAAACACGTTTGTTGCCCAGAGGAAGAACCTGAAGCTGATTGATGTTGATGTCCCTGTTGTTGGGGGCCATGCCGGGATTACCATTCTTCCTCTGTTGTCAAAGACAAGACCCTCAGCGAGTTTCACTGATGAAGAGGTTGAGGAGTTGACGGTCAGGATTCAAAACGCTGGAACTGAAGTTGTGGAGGCAAAGGCAGGTGCTGGGTCTGCTACCTTGTCAATGGCATATGCAGCTGCTAGATTTGTTGAATCGTCTCTTCGTGCACTTGATGGAGATGGGGATGTGTATGAGTGCTCATTTGTGCAATCAGATTTGACTGACCTTCCATTCTTTGCTTCAAGGGTGAAGCTTGGTAGGAAAGGTATCGAGGCTTTAATTCCATCTGACCTCCAAGGGTTGACTGACTACGAGCAGAAGGCTTTGGAAGCTCTTAAGCCAGAACTCAAGGCTAGCATAGATAAGGGCATTGCTTTTGCTCAGAAGCAACCTGTTGCTGCTTAGCTTAATTTTCTCAACTGGTGATTACTTGGGTTATGGATTTATTTGAGCATAAATACTACTTAGAGAAATTAGGTTGCGGATTTGTTGTAATTTCTTTTCTGCTTCCAGAACTTAGGATTCTGCAGTATCAATTCTACTTCCAGTTTTGTTTGTAGAACGGGAGGGAGCTTTCATTTCTGTTCTCTATACCAAGCTTAGGTTTTGATAAAAATCTCCAAAGATGTCACCGTTATAATGTAGAATCGGAGAAATATAAACGTTGTTTTTGAATAATGCGGCTATTGGACCAGTTTTTGGTTTTGCGTTGAGTAATTTAGAATCCAGGAACGCTCTGACCTTGTTGAACTTGCAGTACTCTTTCCGGTCATCAATACCAGATCAACGGACCCTTTAGTTGATGGATGCAAATGGTCTGCGTGTAGAAAATCTTTGAAAAAAACTGCAAGACAAGGTGTTTATTCCTACGATTCTCATGAATTTTAAATTGTGTCTGTAATTTCTTATTAATCAAATATTTTTCATGGTCAATATTGTCTGCAGTTAGTTCTCTTGTCTGGTTAGAATCAATTAGATTGTGATAATATTCTTTCCGTCACTGGCCAGAAGTACAAGAACGATTTTAATTAAAAAAAAAAGAGAAAAAACTATCAGATGCTGTTTTTATGAATGGAATGCATAGAAAATTATCATTTGACATTATAACAGTACTTTGTTATTGTTCCTGTAATATATAGAATCACAAAAGCTCTATCATCAGAGTTGATCAAGTTAGCTGGGTGTGTAACTTTGTTTGCACGAGGAATGTCAATGTTAAACAAAATCCCCGTGTTCTAGAGGGCCCCAAACTACCTTTTCTGAGGTCAAATGACCCTAGTTCACGATTTCTCTACCAATAGTCGCTACATGAGCAGTGCCCTCCCCTGAAGTGGTGAAACCGATTATGGTCTCTAAGAATTACATCACGGTTGTAAACCCCAGAAAAAAGTTTTAGAAAATTGTGGCAATCCACACATATACGGAGATTACTGGCCACTCTTAGTGTTGTGCCAGGTGGAGTTGCAAGAACTCCAAAAGCAACAGCCAATTTTTCACTGTGATGTGAGAGCACAAACCCCTTTTCTTTGTCACCCATCTTATGTAACTCAGATGAAAGTTCAACAACGTAACCAGCAATCCTCAGCTGATGATTAATCTCATTGAGTGTCTCATAAATCTCACGATTTTTCGAATGTGAAATGTCGTCCACTACAAACTCGTGTACTACTCCTTTCAGTTCAATTGTGCTACAACCAGGCGTGGTTTGGATTGCTTTATCTTTCATTAATTTCCTCACCTTTCCCACCTTTTCCCAGTGTCCAGCTGAAGAATAAATATTCAAAAGTAAAACGTAATCCCCAGCTTCTTGAGCTTTCAATTCAATCAAATGCCCAATTACTTGTTCACCAAGTCTAACATGGCCATGAATTCTGCAAGCCCCAAGCAATGTCCTCCATATTGTGGAATCTGGCTTCACCACCATTGACATAATAAGCTGATAAGCCTTATCAAGCAGGCCAGCACGGCCCAAGAGATCAACCATGCAGCCATAGTGATGAACGTTGGGAGTTATCCCAAACTGTCTGTTCATACGGTCAAAAACTGACATTCCCTCATCAACCATTCCAGAATGTCTGCAAGCTGAAAGGACACCCGTGAATGTCTGATCATCAGGCTGGATGCCAATTCTCAGCATCTCTTCAAATGCCTCAATAGCTTCTCTCCCATATCCATTCATTCCCAAACCAGAGATCATAGCACTCCATGAAACCACACTTTTATTTCCTGTTCTCTTAAACACCTCATAAGCCTTATCTAAACAACCACACCGTGAGTACATTGATATGAGTGCATTACATAAATTGAGAGCATCCCCATAACCACGCTCCATTATATAACCATGAATTCGTTCACCGAATTCCAAGGCATTCAAATGAGCACAAGCCTGAAGAAGAAGTAAACAAGTAACATCATCAGGCTCACATTTATTGCTAGAATGCTGCATAGCATCAAACAAACTCAAAGCGTCCCGAATCCTATTATTTCGAACCCAGCAAGAGATCAGCACATTCCAAGCAACAGTGTCCCTCTGAAGCATCTCATCAAACACCTTACTCGCATCACCACCTCTCTGGCATTGCGAATACAAGTCCATGACAGCAGTGAGCAAAAGGGTATCCCATTGGTGGCCGTCTTTGAATATGTTGCAATGAACCTGAACCCCTCCAAGAAGATACAGGAACCTAATACAAGACTTAACAGCAAAGGAAGCTGATAAAGGGTCTGCAGCTATGCCTCTTCTTCTCATATCTCGATATAAAAGAAGACCCTTTCGCGGGGAATCACTCATGGAACAGGCCCTGATCATGGTGTTGTAATGGGAAAGCAAGGGGTGGGTGAGTTGCTCAAAGAAACGGTGGGAATAGTCGGCATCTTGCAACGGACCAGAGAGAGCTACACGGGACAAGAACTGAAGAGAAACTGGGGGGTATTGAATAAGGGTTGTGCGTATAATGTGAGCGTGGATTTGGAGCAACTGGGTCCTTTGGGAAACAAATTTTATGGCAGAAATCACGGGTTCTACTGCCATTTGATGTTCAACGTTTGAGGTTTACGGTGAATTACTGGACTACTTTGTTTACACGGATGTGAGATCATTCTAGTGATCACCAACGAACTAAAACAAGTACTCCCAAAGAAGGAGGTAAATACGGTAGGGAAAATATTTATGTTCGCCTTAAACTTCTTATATTTTACTCATTTATATTTCGTTCTTTGCTTCCTGTACATGAATCCAATTTTTTTTAGGCCAGAAATTTTCTAAATTCACAAATGTTATCCAACATTAATCAAATTGGGTTTGATCTCAAAGCAAACTCTCAGTTAAGAAATAATTAGAAAAAAAATAAAGAACAAAGAAAATTTAAAATTTTATTATTAGAGAGGGAAGAAACATAATTTATACTTCTGAAAAATGTGATGATAATGGCAACTAACTATCAGTAACTACTTTTGCACTTGGGGAAATACTGTTAGAGTTGTTATACGCTAAGTATTATAAATGAAAGCAAGCTTATTTTGATATGGATGATACAACAAGATGTTTACGATGACCAATGAAAACCGTTGTTTTACGGTTTAATTTATGTCAAATGATCTTTTTAGCGCTTTCTTAAATGATCACTTACGAAGTTACGAATGAATAAGTGTTTTGAAAATCGGATTCATCTGATGAACCGAAAATGGGATTAAAATTTGATTACGTTCTTTTTCAATAATTGAACTTTAATTAAATAAAAAAAATATTGGAAGGATTTTCAGTCGATTTTGATAAAATAAATTAGATCAAATTTAAATAATAATAATAAATTTATTTTATTTTAATAATTATTTATCTTATATTTTTTATAATATTTTATATTTATAAATTTTATTATAATATGATAATTTTTTTTATTTTTTTTAATATAATACTAATAAATTTGTATTATATTTAGTTGAATACCTTTATCAATTTAAATATTGAATGGAGGGTTTTGGGGTGGGGGTTGGCAATGAAAGTAATGATAGATGCTTTGCCAATTGGGCTATGTCTGGAAGATATTAGTGTGATGGAGACCTTCTAGAAATTAAAAAATGGGGAAGATCTTCCACTCAAACTTCAATAATCATGGGAAGGCTTTTTTAAAGGAAAAGGTTGTCTAGGCTGATTTTTGTTTGGTTTATGTTAGGCTTGATTATTGGTGATTCAATCTTGGTTAAGTAGGTGTTGTTCTGATAGGTTCTTGAAGGTAAAATTATATAGATGAGTCCAGAAGCCAAGAGAAAGAAGATGAATCAAGATTATTTGGTGAGTCTTCTTGAATTCTTGTTTTTGTTAAGATGAACAAGAGATCTAGTGATGATTGTATGGTGATTGATAGAGACTGCTTCTGACTAAGGATTGATGAGTATATTATATATATTTATTGAATTTTTTTATTTATAAACTTTTTTTCTTATAAGTCACACTTTTCAAGAGACAAACAAATACGGAAAGTTGTCAATTAGAATCACATTAAAAATATCATATTTTCTTTTATTTTTAAAACTTTGAGAATGTTCTCTTTTAACACCCGTAGTTAGTTCTAATTAAGGCATGATTACTTCAAATTAGAAAAAAAAACAATATTGTAATTTTCTGTAATAACTTGTATTGAGACATCTTGTGCTTATACACACGTATTAAGGAAATTTTTGACTTGCCGTTAGTAGTTTTAAAATATAATATTACTTACCTAATATTTTAGTTGATATTAATTATATAACTTTTAAATTTTATAATATATTATTTTTTATATATAAATGTTTTAATAATATTACCTAATTTATTATTTTTAAATTTGTAAACAATTTAGTATTAATATACTATGTTATATTAATATTTATTTTAAACTATATTTAATATATAATCTAGAAATAATATTAGTATAAAAAATGATAATTTTTAACATGTCTAAATTGAAATTAAAGGAAAATAGTTAGAACATGTGATATGTTTTTATCCCTGAAAGGATCCAATTCCTTGGTAATATATTTTATCTTGAGAAGGAAAAAAAAATAATTATTTGTAAATTGGAGTTGAATAAAAATAAATATGATAGATTGATGCAATAGCTAACCTTCACATCGGAGACTATGTATGTAACGCGATAACTTGTATTTAATTGAATCCAATCATGACACTGATGAGAGAAAAAACAAAAAAAAATCCGTAAAAGAAAAGTATGATTTTGTCTGCAGGAAAAAGTTGAAAGTGATATTTCTTTTTGTTTTGTAGTAAACAAATACTAGAAAATATGTCAATTTTTTTATTTAGATTTACACGTTTTACTAGTTATATTTATATATATGACGTAACAAATTGTAAGAAAAAAAGGAGTTAATTTACAATATTATTTTATTTTTTCAATTAATTTTTATTATTTTGTATGTTTATAATTTTAATTTATATATATATATATATATACTTTTAATTATATTATTTAGATAAAATGAGATAAATGTGAAGATAATAATAAAAATTAAATAAATAATTTAATATAATATTTTTTATAATATAATATTATTTTAAATTTTAAATATTTAAAAAAATAAATAAAATATTTATAATTATATATCCAAATATATATTATTAAAAAGTACGAAATCTTAAAAATATTAGTTCTAAAAATTAATTAATTCATAAAAATTAATTAATAATTACATAAATAATTTTATAGTTATAAAAATATTTAATTTTAATTATTTTTAAAAGAATATTTTCTTTATATATTTTTTATTTTTTTAAAAGCAGATAATTATATTGTTTATCCTATATATTTATATATTTTTCTTTTTTCTTAAATTTTTTTTCTCACATTTTCTTTTTTTAAGTCACCCAACTATTGTTCGTATTTTTATTTTTTGTTTACTTTTAATTTTTTTAGAAGAAAAGTATCGTATTCCATTTACTTATAGTGGATGGTTATTGAATGAATTCGTTCATACACCTTTAGAGAAAAAAAAGAGAGGAAATCGTTGGAGTTTTATAATAAATTAAAATAAAGCAAAGAATATTAAATGCATTTTTTTAATAATACAAATTAATTTCAAGTTTTTATTCATAAGCATAATTTATTACGAAATATTTTAATATTAAAAATAAACAATCAATATTTCCAAACAAGTATATTATTGCGAATAAATACATCAACAATGTAAAAATAACATATCGATACAACCAACATATACAGATTCTTAATTCTTATTATTGTATGTAAATAAATATATATTAAATAGAGACGAATCAGAAAATTAATTTTAAACACAAGTTTGAACAAATAATTTTTTAAAGAATCACAACATATTCTTTTAATAAAAAAAATCTTTAGACAGTAACCTACACTTCCCCTCCTCCATATATATATATATATATATATATATATATATATATATATATATATATATATATATATATATATATATATATATATATATATATATATATATATATATATTAGCATATAGACTAAGTTTATTTTTAAGTGAATGTAATGGAGAAAATGATAATGTAATAAATTATCAAATAGAAAATGAAAAGGAAAAATAAAGATGAGTAGAAGATGAATAAGTATTATTGCAAGTTCATTTTTTGGTTGAAAAAAACAACTCTGTTGACTGAGATACTGAAAAATGTTTTATTTATTCATTTATACACTTTATATTTAATGATAAAATATATTTTTAATTTCTAAAATTTTAGTTTCTTTCATTTTTAAATTTTGCATCCTTTAAATTTGCACCACTTCGAAAATGAAACTTTTTAAAGGAACCCAAAGTATACTTCTTACTTTCAATCTTATTTAATATAATTGTCATAAGAAATAAAAACGATCAAAAGAAGTATTGAGACTAATTAATTAATTTTTTTAATATAAAGATTAAAAAAAATATTTAAAGATTAGTCACACATTCAGTAATAAAACCTTATTTCAGTAAGAATATTCTCACATTCATAAATAACATGACCTCCATCGTAAAATTAAGCTCCTTTTCCGCCTAAGGTGCCAGAGGGCATAGAAAAAACAGCATCAATCTTTTTATCTTGATCTTGCTCTCTGTGTGCCCTTTCTTAACTTCACCGATTCAAAGCAACGTTATACTACAATTAAGGCCACACAAAATATCCCATAATGAATTCAAAATTCAACAATGACACTACTAAAGGTTACTGAAACACATTATTTGGACTGTACACCTTACAAAAAGATCTAAAGAGTCGTTTCTCTTATGACAGTCTAAATATTCATTGGCAATGATTTTGCATGAAGCTCAATACTGACATGTGCATGCTACTCCACAAACAGAACAACCCTCCACAAAAGAAAAAACCTACCAGACTCCATTGCTTTGACATAATATTTAAGCTAACTGAGACATCAGATAATTGATGTCTCGTTCTTCTTCACTTTCGTTACTATATTCTCCCAATGTGTCAATACTTCTACCACAGCCACTCCAAGAAGAACACTGTGGTTCCCTCTGCCCTAGCTTCCTTTTCTTGTAATTGGCCTTGAAACATGCCTGTCTAAGTCTTTTTGTGTTATCTTCCAGTTCAATATCTGGCATTTCCTCCAAAAGCTTCTTTTCACTTTCCAATATCTCTATGGCACTTCTTAACTTCTCTTCACTCCCTGGGCCCTCCTCTTTCAGTAGCTCCTACAACCCATTTCCAAAATTAGAAAAAAGCTACCCTCATTTTTTATCACCATATATAAAGTATAATAAATAATCATCACATTAGTTAGGATCAGTGCGTACATATATAATTCACACAAAGAGAACCCACCTGTATATTATTTATCAGAGTTTGCAAGCTCATCAGCTTCCTGTGGGGCCACCTTCTTATACCCAACTCTCTGCACCTTTTCTTCAAAAGTGTCAGCCCCACATTAAGTTCCCTGGCAGCTTGTGTTATTGGCATGTAGAAGTATTGAGATATGGTCTTCCTTGATAACATTCTGCTACTGCTACAGTTCATTCTCTCTTCTCTCCCTTGGTTAACCTTTCTATCCTCCATCACTTCCTTCACAATTCCTCCACTTTCTTCTTTGTTGCGAAATAAAAAAGCCTTTTCCGAATCAAACACAGCATCCACCTCGTTCCACACAGGAAGGCCCTTTTGAATGTCATAAAAATCATAGTCTGCTGTGACAAGATAACCAGTATCTAAATAATGACAAGTAAAATAGTAGTATTATCATAAAATATAAAGGCTTGTTCTTGATGTTGACATATATATAACCTCGCAGGCTTGATGTTGGGTCGATGGCGAGTGTTTCATATAAAGGATCTGAAGGGTAATACTCCATAAGAGGAACAGCATCAAGATTGTAGTCTTGTAAGGGAAAATCGTGTAGTGGAAGATACAGTTCACCATTATCTCTGAGAAAAGGCATTCCAATGATGAAAACTAAAAACTTGTAAGAGCTTAATAACATTTCATCATGACAAGGTGTAGAAGAGAAGTTTCATGGTTTACCTGTAAGAGCTCCAACCCATAAGAGGCTGAGACTCCATGATCATGCTGAAGTAGTGAAAGGAAATAAGATAACAGTAGGTAGAATAGAACGAGGGAGTGTGAAAGGAAGTTGGCAAAATATACACGAAACATGGATATGAGTATTGTGATGATGATGATTATATAGTGTTCATTTGTAATAAAAGGAGGCAATTAATAGCTTGGAGAATGTGCGCGCCGCCTTGTATGCGCGAATACGTTTTAATGGTGACTACGGTGCTTGCGAGAGTTACACAATCACTATAATTACCAGCATAAATATCCAAGGGTTCTACGTGCCGTGCTCAATCTCAGCCCTTGGATCGAATACAAAATTAATTAACTCACAATTTTTTGCCTTCTTTTTTATCATTAATTCTTTTAGTCACTCGTTCATCCCTCGCTTCTTTGATGAATAAGTTCTATACTGGTTAAAGGGATCGCGAAAGAACCTTCTGTGATTAGAAGATTTTGAACTTTTTTAAGGATTTTAATCCGTTTACACACATTGTAAAAGAAGAAGATGATTAGGTCTATTAACGTGCTGTTTTGTAGCCTATAAAATGGACTGTGCTAGTATGTTTGCTCTAGGCCAATGATGAATTCGGTTCTCTGATTTAATTTCATCTCAGTTTTTTTGAATTATCAGAGTTAACTATTTAGTTCTTAATTAAAAAAGATATTTAAAAATTATAATAAGTTAGTTAGTCCATAATATATAGTATTAGAAACAAAATTTCAGAGAGAGCATCTGAATTGGAGTTCATAATTAAGTAGCAGATGGTGGTTATTTGAAGTGTTTTGGAAGATAGAGTAATAATTAAATAATTTGAGGAAGTGTTGGTATCAATTATGAAATGGCAGTGAGTTTAACCAAATGTGGTTGGGAATGAGCGATGGCATGCTGAGTTTCCAGTAATTGATAGTATGAAGGTGAATCAAATAATTAATCTTCACAAAACTAACTGATTGGGGCATGGCTGGTTGCATGCTGCACGTTTCCCAGTTTCTTCCAAGCAATAGATGGACCTCAAAGTTTAACAAATTACTGTGAAGCAATAATCATAATCATTAGTCTCTCTGCTACTCTATCTACCAATTAATCATTACTAACATTGGATTTGGAGCGATAATTAATGACACGAGCCTACTTATTCATTTTTTACCTTTTCAATGCCCTTAATCCATTCATTTATTTTACGTTTTCATTAACTTCTAACTGATCCATGAAGGCTAACCAATGTTATCATTCGTATTCATGGAGGTGTAACGGACTCATAAAAAAACACCAATTATTTTTCCCCGGCTGTTATCAAGACAAGTACTTGAACATTGTGTAATTTATTTTTCCAAAAGTTTTACTATACTTGGTAAGTTGATTTGTTCCTACCCTACCAAAAATACATTCAAAATTGCAAGTTTATTGTATGGTAAATGTATTTTGTTGTGGTATCATACATCTACAAAATATACATCTAAAAATAAAATTGTTCATTAGGTGATCATCAATTTTATTTTAAAACATTATTATTTATCATTATTATACATTTTAATGATCTCGTAATTCTAAATAATCACTCTCAAGATAAACCCACTTGTGGATCAAAATATTAAAATTAATTATAGTTATATTTGTTCTTATAATTACGCATATGATATATGATAGTAAATAGTTTTATAACATTATTATAACCCTTTGTAAAACATAATGAACCATATTTATATTTCTTACCGCATATCATGATGATTCACAATTTCATGATATTTATTAATAATCGTATGTTATCATGTTTATTTATTTTTAATCATTTGTAAATTAATTAATCGTATTTATATACACAATTAATCACGTTTATGGATGGACACTGGGTGTAAAAACTCTGAATTTAAAGATACTATTTTCTTTTTCGTTATGGTTCAATCACAATTTATCATATATAATAAATAAAATTATTTTTTTATCATAATTATCTTGAAAATAATGTTAAACATAAATTTTGTTTGATTGACGAGTAAAAAATATTTTCACAAAGCATCCTTAAACTTTAATATAAGTTTGAATTTTAATACATTGGTAGTGTAGATTTTGTATATAGTTAATTAATTAAAGTAATTTATTACAAAAAAGTATTATAATAATTTGTCATGAAAAGTGGATTGAAAGTTCTCAAGTAATTTTTTTTAATATCAAATTATCATGAAATTAAATGCAAATTCAAGTTAGTATTTAACTATCAATATTTCCAACTAAATTCTTAAACAAAATTCATACTATAATATTTTGTTTATATAAATGACATGTTTATGATTAGTATCAAAATAGTTAAAATTAACCTTTTTTTTATAAACTCTATAAGATTTTTTTCTTACTGATATTTTCTTTTATTTATTTCATGAAATTATTATATATTTTTATATGTTTAATTCTTAATGTATTGTCTTTTTTTTTCATTTAGTTTCTTTAAGAAATGTTATGATAGTATAAATTAGTTTTTATATATATATATTAAACAAAAGAAGAGAAAGGGAAACTTTTAATAGGTACCGGAATGGGAAGAGAAAAACCAAATTAAAAATTGAATTTGATCAAATAATATATTTTTATTTCAAATCGGTGTTGTTATAAATTTGTTATCAAATAATTTTTATTTTTATTTTTATAAATATACGGTGTTACCATTGAATTCAATACAATCGTAATTAAATGTACAGATCGTAATTAAAATCTTTTTATCTTTCATATTTCATTCTTTAGGATTCTTTTTCCTATTTCACTTTTAACAGTTATTTGAATTGAAAAATACACTTAAAAGAAAACAAAAGTGAGAAAAAGAATAAAAAAATAGAATTATTTGGATTAATAGAAAATAATAAAAATGAATAAAATAAAATAAATTTATTTATTGTTTTAATATAAATTTTTAACTATTTATTATTATCATAATATAAAAAAAATTACATTAATTAAAAAATTGTCGAATTAAAAAATTGTCGAATATAATCAATCTTTCTATAAATGATTATGTATAACTTTTTCTACCTTTCTTCGAATTAAAGATAAAATAGATTTTTTTTTCAATTTTAAAACTTTTAAATGTTAAAATACGTGAAATCCACCCATGCGGATTGCATGTTGTTAAGCTGGTAACAAACAGAGGCTTAATCCAAATATAATTTCCGTAAGAATCCCAGACTAGTTACTACGACAGAACTTGCACGGTAGGCTTCATTTTGCAACATGCAAAGGTTTAAGACAAAAATATAAGTAGATGTAATAAAAGGAAATATATTTGAATTCTCAAGTATACAGTTACTGTCAGTAATCATGAAATAAGAGTAGCAAACTAAAAACATATAGATCTTACAGCACAACACGACACAACAAAGACTAGCATTCACCATTGCACTCAATGTCTCGATCCTCCCTTTTTCCCATGGCCACGTCCACCTTTCCCACCACCACTTTTCCCTCTATGATGATTTTTTGCTCCACCTAATGCCCTGTTTGCATCAGGTTTCACTTGAAACTCTTCTGGCAACGGAAGAATATGATCTACACATTTGCGGAAGCTAAAATCATCAACAGATTCATCATCCCTTATGAGGAAGAAGCACCTACTTTTCCACGTGGGATGGTTGCGTACTTGAAAAACTCGGATTCCTCCACCAATCTTATCATCAGGCTCTGTATGGCCGGTTTTCAGCAATTCCAGTAACATTTTATGTTCATACTGCCGCACAACAACAACCACAGTTAATTCAATATGTGAATATTCAGGTTCCCGCCGCTGCGTCATCAAGAAACATTACTGAGGCAACATACTAAGACTGAACTGATTTAAAATTTACACATTTGCATGCAGTTCAATGTTGACATGGCCATGCATTATTTAAAATAATGCTTTTCAATGCATTTCTGGAGCTATTGACATCGAACTGTGAAACATGATAAATAAATACGCCAAAAGCTTTAACAAATCTTAAGAAACAATGTATTTCGTAATTTCTTTCTCCCTTTTCACATAACTAAAAACATACAATATATTTCTGTGTAAGTGTCCAAACTAACTTCACTTATTTTTTATCATCATTTTTAACATCGGTGTCACAGCATGTTTTTGCACACTCACTCGGTACCGTAGTAATTTTTTGTATGAACATAACATAAATATAATTCATATATAAACATCCAACCCATTCACTAAAAGGGATTAGGATAAGTCATTGATGGTTTGGACAACTTCAATGGATTTAAATGGATTAATTGTTTGTATTTAACAATCTAGCATAATCCAATCCAATCCAAATATATTTTCCATTTAAAGCTCAAGAGACTAAAATGTATGCAGCAACATCTTTTGAAGAAAGCAAGGCACAGAGAGCGCTCACTCAAATTATATTGAGCCATACCAATCAAAACCCATACAAGTCAAAGTATGTTAGCACTGTATGGTCACTGGCAAATTCAAAATTCGTTTTTTCTTTTTATCCAAGAAAAAGAGACAACATTAAAAAAAAAAAAACGATAACTGTGACGATTGTTGGAATACCTGGTTAAGATTGAGATAAGGGGGCCAGCTATGAAGGAGATTGTTGAAGTAATCGAACATTTCCACAGAAGAGGCGAAGCTTATGAAACCCAGTTTCACGGGACCAGAAGGTTTCTTCCCTTCTTCATCCTCCCCGTTCAGAGGTTCCCTTTCCTCGTTCGGCTCCACCTTCTGCTTCTTCGGAACACCGTCTACTTCGTCATCGTTGTTCTCTCTACTCCGCTTCTGGTGGGGCTCGTCGTTTGGTGCTGAGTTAATGCCGGCGGGTTCGGAACTTTCGACAGCCATGTCTACGGCTGCGTCCGCGGTGGTGGGCTCGACGATTTCCGCTTCCGATGCTGTGGCTTCCGCCATGGTGTGCGGCTGTTGGGCTTGTAGATGCCATAACTTCATTAAAAGCAAAATTGAGAGCAGGATGATTGACCTAATTTTTCCTTGTTCACAGGCCAACTGATTGGGCCTTACTGCTGTTTTCTTGGTCAAGGCTTGTTTAAATTTGGTCCTATGGCTATTCAACAAAGTAAAATAACTATATTCACCCTCTCTTTTTCATATTTCTACCTCCAAATATATTCCTCTAAAATTCTAACCCTTTCCTATTTTACTTGGTAGATCTTCAACAATTTCAAAACCTTTTATTATGTTAGGTTTATAAACATTTTTTTTAATTGTATAATTGAATTTGTATTTGTTTTCTTAACTAGGTCTGCGATTAATTTTTCGTAATGATAATTACATAAAATGATTCAATTAAGAAAAAAAAACCCTTCGAACTTAAGCAAAAATAATAATGTTAGTCAAAGTTCATTTCGATTTATAAAAAATCCAAATAAGAACATAAAAATTTCTCCTAACCCTAAGAAATACTATCACAGATATTATTGCTACCACTTTTATCATAATATTGTCACTTTACTAATATCATAACAAGAATAATCTCTTCTGATATTCATTAAATATGACTCACTTTCAAGAAAAATAAAAATGAAAGTAAATTTTACAAGTTTTACCCAAATTGAGTCGGAGTCAAAATCAATCCAATCTTTCTGCTGACAATATTTATTAAAAAATAATTAAGAAACAGTACTTGTGTTTTGTATTATCCGAACAAATTTCATTTTATCAACATATTTTGAAAAAAGAAAGATCAAAACACCAATCACAATTTTTTTTATCAAACTTATGTTTATAACATACTTTAAAAATTTGTTTGTAATAGATGCGATGAGTATTTCGTAATTATGTCCAACTTTGTTAGCAGTGCCTGGATCTACTTCAATTGCTATGCAGATGCAAGTACTTTTTTACACTCCTATCAATTCCTATTTTCTATTGACTTATCTTATCCTTTAACTTTATATTTAATAATTATTAAAATTAAGAATATAAAAAAAATTAATTATATAAATCATTACGAAATGTTAAAAAATTGTCATAAGGATCTTAAAGATACAAACTAGGTCTGAAAGCAGCTAAGGGAAATTAAGTAACACTCTCACACTTCCCATTTTTCATCTTTTAAGAAATTATTTCTTGATGAGGAAAATATCATGGTATAGGGAGTCGTGTTGCTTCCAAGTTCAAAATATCTTTTATAGCAGTTGGTTGTGTCGAATTTTCTTTCTGCATTCTTGTTTCTGTTAGTTTTTCATGTTTTACTCGCTGGGCATATAATTTTTCTTCAATAGTATGAAACACGGTATGTGCTGTGCATTTATCTTCATCAGATACCCTTTTTGAGCTGTATCGCTTGGTATTTTCTCTGTTTATATAGTCTGTTTCTTTGAAACAAGTCCCTAGGATGCACTTCAACAACTCTATGCCTCTGTCATACTTTGAGACCGCCACTCATGCCCACTAGGGAATTGACATCTGCCCCGAAAGAAGGTCAATTTTCTTTTATGTGCAGCATTTTAGCTTTGGAGTATTTAGCAATTCCTTAACATTTAAGATAGAGCCAAGAATAAGTACAAATCGAGCTCTGTGAAAGATCTTTATCCTTTGTTGATCAAGCGTTGTAGTCAATGTTATAGTAATAGGAGACAACAATGGGGCAGGGACCACTATTGACAGTTTTATAGAACATTAATTAGTTGTTTTTAGTTACCAATTTGAGTTTGCTTTTGGCTACTTTGTGCTTTCATTTCTGTTTATTTACTCATTTTGAGTGAGTGCATTCAATCCTTAGCCTCCACAAGGGACCATGTGTTTGTTGCATGGTCGCCAAGATTTGACAGAACTGTTGTTTTGCTACAAGTTTCAGGTGATAGAAGCTCCATCTCTGGTTTTCAAAATGGTTTCTTCAAATATAAGTTCTGGTTAAGGCCTATTCTCTTTAGCACAGGGTTAAGATACACTAATACAATAAACTGATGAGGAACTGAAACACAGATAACCATATTAATATATGCATGTTTATAAGTTGGAATCATTTTGAACTCATTACGATCATGTAGTAATTATATTATCATTGATGGAACTGAAAAGCTAAAGCAACAATTCAATTATATCTTTTTCTCTTTTCCTTAAACAATGGTCAGATAGTTCTTTTACTTTAATACATAGTTCTAAAGTGGTGGGTCAGAAAGAGTATCTAAGTAATTGACCATGTTTATAGAACAAGATTCTATTCTTCCCTCAGTGATTCCTTTTCCTCTTAAGGTTGTGAAACATGTGAATTATCCTGTTTATTGGAACCATAAATTTGTAGGATATAAAAAGAAAAAAAGAGGGCAAGATGAGAAGATATTGGATAGAAGAGATTTGAGTGAGGTTGGTCTTCATGGATTCGCGAGAAAAATAAAGGAGGATTGGCCATTTTTGGAAGTTAACAAAGGTTTTGTTTAAACTTGCTTTGAAGAAAGGGTTTTGGGCTAAGAAATCCAACAAGGAATGGTGAGAAAAGCATAAAGGAGATCCATTAAACACAGGAAACCGAGACTGCAAATATATTTTTGCATGGAGAGGAGAGCTTGGTATTCTAAAGATAGTTAGCATAAAGAAAGTGGGTGGAACAAAAGACAGTTATTGGTTGGTTTGTTTTTTTGGGAGTGGTTGCCATTACCCTACCTTCTCCCAAAATGCTCTACTTTTAATGGCTTTCTTGTCTATGTTGCATTACCATTCTAAATCAGTGACTCATCTTCTACCTTTTCTTTCTAGTTTACCATAAGCAGTTACAAAACATTTCTCCAATTTTGTTCACTAGAAAGACAACTATGATATCTAATTTAAGGTTCTTTAATTAAAGGATTAAAATTATAATTCTTTTTATTAAAATTATCTAAATACGTTCTTACAATAGTTCCTTCCCCAAAAATATTGAAGCTAAAAATGAAAAATAGTAACTAGTGTAGTTAAGACAATTAAAATATTTTAAGGTAATATACTTTTAGATGTATAATTTAATTAAGTAATATATTTATTATTTGATAAAATTAAGATAATTATACAATTTATTTTTGTTCTATTCAATAATTACTTTAGTATTTGTTTAAAATTATTATATTTTACTAAGGTTGATATTATTTTATAAATTAATTTTAATATTGTAATATTGAATTATTATAAACTAATTTTTTTAATATGTCAGAAATTGTATCTAAGGATACACAAATAAAAAAATATATGTTTTTTATATTTTTATAATTAATAATTATGATTTATTAAAATTATATATGTAATGTAAAAATAATCATTATTTTTTTTATTCTTACAAAACTTAAAACTAATATATAATGATTATTTTAAATATATTTCAAATTCTTTCATGTATTATATATACTGTCTTACGTTAGTTTCAATATATTTTTTTTTTACTTTTTAAATCTTTAAATTTTTCTTAATATTACTTTTACACCCAAAAGTTATAATTTATATGTTCACTTGAGAGTTAAAATTAAGAATATTTCATATTTATTATCATCTTATTTTATTAAAAATAAAACCACGATAAGGTTTAACTTAAAAAAAAAATACCTCTAATTAATAATATAACCTTAATAGGCCAAGTGCAGATAAATTACTATCATTTAATCTTCATTGTTAACTTTAATTATATTAGCACTTGAAATATAAAATATTATTTTAGACTTTTTAAATGCATAATTCAATTAAGTAATATATTTATTATTTTTATGAATAAGATAATCATATAATTTTTTTTAATGTATTATATCAACGATAAATTTTATTTTATGTTATAATTAAAAATAATATTTTATTTATTTATAAAATGTTATTACAAGAAAATTATTATATTTTTTATTTTATACTTATACATTTATCACTGTATATAATGATTAGTAAACAAATATATTTAATAATTTTTTTAGCTATAAACAGGAATAAAATTTTTTTTTCCAAGACTAACACGCCTAATTTATTTTGGACTAATGTACCAAGTTATAGTTTGTAGTTAAGAACACTACAACTTAGTCTTTGAAATTAGAAAACATTTATGTTACTGTCTAAAATGATAGTTATTTTTATGGAAAGTTGAGATTCCAAATACCTACTTATATGTTAGATTAAAGTGTAAATCAATGTAAGATTAAGGATCTATTAATTAGAATAAACTATTTAGTGTAATTGTCTTGAGATTCTCTGCTACTAATTTTATATTGTGCTTCAGTTATAACATTTATTCATAAATTTGAAGATTTTATTTCTAATAAATAATTTTATAGATTAGTGTTGAATTAAGCACAAATCTTAGCTTCTGAATAAATGTTTTCAATTTCATAGAATGTTATATTCATAAACCAAGTTTAGATAAATAAGTCTAGATGACATGGTAGAATAATAAAGTGTAAAAGACATTAAGGCAGTTAAAAAATTATAAAATATAAATTTATTGGATCATAACATAAGTAACTTATATTTAATTTTGTGCTAATGAATTTTAGAAAAAAAAATTAGACAATTTATTTTCTCCACTCATTTATTTATTTTTTATTCACTTTATTAGTTGTTCCAAGAGAGTAATAAAAGTTTTTAAAAAACTTACTATGCGATTTAAGGATTTTTCCAATCAAAAGTTATATTTTAGGAAAGCATTTTAAGAAGCAATTTCAATAGGAAATAGTATTAGTTGGGTCTTTGTTTGGTAAAAAAGAGCATGCCAAATGATAGGGGTGTAGGGAAACTAAAAGATTCTTGGCTTCCCAAGTATATTGTCCAATTAACTTTCAAACTTTCATTCAAAACCTGTCACTGTCTTCTAAAACAGCCTTATATATTTGCTTCCATACCATACTTATGATTGGGGTGAATCTAAAACTTCCTTCCCTACATGTTCCATGCTTCTAATGCTTTATGCTTTTAGTCTTCCAAGTTCCCATAGAAGAGATTACTTCCATCAATGAGTTACATGAAATAGAGCACTTGCTGTGCCAACACCTTATCTATCTCCTCTTTGCTTAAAATACACAAGTTCTTTTCATCCCACATTCCCGTAGCACATTTCCTAGACTCAAATGAACATGAGTCTTTTGAGTTTTAGAGGCTTCTTTGTTTTAGTTTGTATTGGGATTTTAGCTTCTCAACCATTTAAGGTTTCTGGCTTGAGAAGCAAAGATCTTGCTCTGAGATGGGATGAAGGACTTTTGCCATTTGTTAGAAGTTTTCGAGTCCTCAAGTCTGTTTATGCAGTGGAGGATTTGCAATCAAAGGTGGAGTTGGCACCTGCACCTTCCATGACCATTGATCCTAATCAGTCAAACAAACGGACAGTAAGAAAAGGACCAGACCCGATTCACAACAGAAGCTGACCTGCTTCAGCTGTGTACTTCGCTATGGCGAGAAATGACAAGAAAATTCCCAAAGCAAAGACAAAACAATCTTCTTTGCGTTCTTAACCCTTTCTGAAAAGGTTGGTTGGTTTACTACGTTTTCTTTTATATTTGTTCTCAGTTCTACCTTGTGTCTACATGACAGCTGAAAAATTGCAGCTGAAGTGCTGAACAAATCTCTGAGCCAGCATTGTTTAATAGAGTAAAGAAATCGTAGGAATTGACCAATAGCTGGATAGTCTTAGTTCTCAAATACTGAATATATATAGTGCATTTTAATTTTCCCCCTTTTGAAGAAGAATATATATATGTTTTTTTTTTCCCACTACTGACGTTAATGTTTTTTTTTTTTATTTCTCTTCCACTAATTTAGCAGACATCATTGTATTCACAATCAATCAAAACATTAACATGACACACGAAGTAAACAAGTAACATCGGATTATGTACATAATAACATAAGTTATGTTGATTGTTGTCATGAGAAGACCGCCTCTCCTGCGTAATCAGGTGCTACTCCATATGGTTAATTTTATTGGTCACCTATCCTTTCCATACTTGCATCAGATCAATGAAGTTAGGATGAAATTAAGAGACTTACCTCATTGCTGTGGTACTTCGATGACAGTTAGATTATTGTTTACGAACCTTCTTACAAAATAAATATAAGGGAAGAAATTGCATGGGTACCATATAGGGGTATACAGTATAAATCTTCATCTAATTAATTGGGGTAATTTAAAAGAAAACAACAATCGTCTTTTCATGAAGAAGATAAGAAATGATTGGGTGAAAATTTGTAACAAGGGAGGGAAGGAGCTAAGCTTGTTAGTAGCAAATAAGTAAAACCAAGTCCTTCCCATGATAAGTATTTTAGTAAGTCATAACAAGGAGCTAAGATCTCTAGTATCTATTTTTCCTGTGCAAATTTAACTGTTGTGAAGATATCTTATGCGCAACTTCCTCCCAAATCATATTCACTGCATCTCCAGGCTGGCTTGGATATTGATACTCGAAGTGTTGTGTAATATCCTTTAACCTTTCCCACATCTTTATCCATTTCTCTCGCTCAATTGAACGAAGCAGATTCATCAGGTAGCCTTTCTTCACAGCATCTGAGGCACGGACAAATAAGCCAAATTCTGAGTAGTCCAAAACATCTTCAAATGGTAGCTCAATTTCGTCACTAATGGTCACAGGTACACAGTGGCTCACAATGGCGTCAAAGAGGCGATTAGAGGATGGGGTATCTCCGGCAATGTTTAAGCAAAATTTGGATAAAGCCATGCCCTGGCTTGCCTGCTTAATTCCATTTCTTTTTATGCTTCCAAACGTAAAATGCACATCTTTCTCATCTTTGAGGAGGTAATATAGTTCACGGCGAACAGCTCCTCCCTGAAGAGTTTCACCATGATAATCAAATGAATTACAACAAATAATCATCCATCTGGTAGATCAAATTAGTTACAACAATATTTATAATATGATGAGAGGTAGTAAAAATCACATCATTACTCCCGACTATAACAAAGCTACTGTAGCAGATGAGTTTTGACATTTTAATAAATTCATCCTAACTCACGCCCAATTTATGCCTTTTGATGTAGAAGAGAATCACACAATGACATCATATTAAAAAGGCATCGACAGCATGAACATATAATAATTTCCGCATCACCTCTGAAATATAGGCTTGTATACAACAATGACCCTACTAACTGGATTCGATTCAACTCAGTAACCCTGTTATTCATTTCTTAATTGCTTTTCAATGAATGTTAATGAAAAAACAAATTACTAATGGACAAAAGTGCATACTCCTTACTAAATAGCTAACAATACAGTAAAAACCGGTGCTTGCTGTTGAAGAGAACAAAACTTTATTTCACTCTTAATAACTTTAATGGATAAAGCTTCTAAATTTGGAATCATCTCAGCTTCTAAGCTATCTTTTGCATCACGTAATATGATTTACACCTTCAAATGCGTAATAATCAATTACCAAATTGAGCATAAATTACCATTCAAAACGGGGAAAAATATAGAAGTCAATGCTAGAACTTCTTTTTGACAATAAAGCATTAAGCATGCATTAAATAGATAATATTAGAGTAGCAGAAACTCACAGCTTTCCTATATATTGCCCCCTGGAAATATAGAAGTGTAGAACGTTCCTCATATGAAGCTGACTCAGTTCTTGGTATAGTGTTTACTAGATGCCTATATGGAGCTATTATATCCTTCTTAATATTTGCTATTTTAGAAGGGTATCTTCCAAAATCTGCAAGCACAAGCATGGAAGAACCCAACTTTCTTCTTACATCAACCATGCTGTTAGGATGGTGGGCCACAATCACATGATCCTTCCCTCCGGAACGTTTCCATTCTTCCCGCCCCATTAGAAACTGTACCAATCTCTCTTGCAGCATTTTGTTAACACTAACTTTTTCCTTTCCATGGATTTTGGAATGCCGGTTGTAACTCAAAGATGAGAAAAATGGCACAAAGACCACATCTGCTTGACTTGCATTCAGCACTCTAATTGCACTACAAGGCCTAAAAACTTTTGCAATGTTTGAAGACAGAAGATCAAGAGTGAGCCAGTACTCCACACTATGCTGTAAATTAAGCCCACCTGGATATGGAGGAACATCTTTTGGGTTATTCACATTAGGCCATGTTTGGTTCGCACTCCCCTTCCAATCCAATAACCTAAAGTGAAACTCTGGAGGTAAGTCATACATGAATACCCTTAAGAGAGCAAGGTTTGCGTCACACGCCATCTTCCTCAGCTGCCCCGGAGGACTTGATTTCTGGCTTGAATTAGAAAGTTGACACCTTTGTGGTTGAAATTTTGAACCTTGAGAACGTAAGGGAGGGGGTGCAATTTGTTCCCTCTTGAAACTGGGTTTAAAGGCAAGTGATGTGTTGTTGACAATAACAAGCTCCAACACTGATCTAGGAATGAATGAATGGTTGCTCAAGTGGAGGAGGAAAAAGGAAGATAGGACCAGAAGGAACATAGCAATAACCATGACACAAAACATAAATCTTGAGAGAACCATGCTCTTGTCTGACATTGTTGAAGAACAGGGTCAGAGGAAAGGAAAGTAGCAGGAAAATCAGCTAATAAAACAAAGAGGGCAATACAAAAATGTGGTAATGGAGTTTCCCCACCGAATATTAAACCATATTAGTCAATACGTTACTATTAATTGCAATTTTGCATTTACTGATCAAGTCTCAGGATTAGGAAAGGGCACAAGAAGATCATAGTAAAAATTGGAAAAGAATTGGAATTGGAAAGTGGGTGGTCAAAACTCGTGGCCCAATTAGATGACGTGTATGGGTTCAGTTGGGCAACAAAGAGTAGCTGATCTGATCAGTTTCACAGGTTTGGTTTGGACAAGAGAAAGCTGAAGTTTTTTTTGAGGCCAATTTGTTGTGATGAACATTGGGCAACCACATTCACGTTTCATTCTCCTCTGGAATTTTAAAACCCACTAAATTAATCAATAAATGAATTAGTTGCAACTTGGTTCGCATGTAAAGTCACAAGTTTTTTTTTGTGGGTCTGTCCATAACTTGAACCTCAAAACAGTGTCAGTATTCAAAACCGTTTCGCTTTTAGCAATTAAAATCACCTATCTTTCAGTTTCTCATCTCTTATCCTGTTTTTCAAACTCGAACATGATATATTATTAGTACTGTTTCTTTGTCTTAAAAAGTGTTATTTTAAAATAATTTTTACATGAACAAAAATTAATGTGTAAAAGAAAAGTATTTGTTTCTCTCACTAGTCAAACTAAACAACACATTAATAATGTTTTTCTCTTGCAAATCCAAAACTCCTCCTTTTCTAAATCTCCTCTGTCTTTATTCATAAGGTTATATTATGATTAATCTACCATGTTATATACATTAGAAAAGAAAAATCCTGAATAATATAGAGAAAGAAATAAACGCCATCTGGAAGGGAATAGAAGTAGAGAAACACAATTTCTAGAATAAGATGTGATAACTATCTAAAAAAATGAGTACATCAACCGTGAGAAAATGAATACAGCAACGAAAAAAACAAATACAGAGGAAAGATTCCGTACATTGACGAAGAAGGAGGAAGATAATTGCGGATTGAAAAGAAGACTTAGAAGATAATCCGAAGACCCCCTAACTTTTGATAGTCATAAGCACATCTCCATGTATATATATATAGTTACACTATTTTCCAATTATTTAATATTGAGTGATTATTTTAAATAAAAATATATATTATATTAGTTTTCAGTGAGGAGGTTATACATTTATTAATTTATATTTTTATTAAATAATTTAATGTTTTTTATTTAATTAATTTTGAGAAAGGTTATGTATTGACTCATTTATAGTGTTATTAAATAATTTAATAAAGTTTATTGGACAGAAGATAAAATACAAAATAAATAAATTAAAATAAAATATTAATTAAAAAGAATAATTTTATATAGTAATCTAGATTATTATTATTAAATAAATTTTATTTGGTTTTAATTATTAGTTTTTTTAGGACAAATGTGAATATGAAATTTGAGTTCATACAAAATGTTTTTTTAGCAGTAAAATAATAGTTATTTTATCGGTTATAATCATTAATTATGCTATTGTTAAAAAAGATAGTCCATATTTACAGAATTAATAATTGTTATTGGTATTACTTAGCAACTAAAATATTATTTTCTATTATTATTATTATGACTCTTGTTTTTTAATCATAAATGATAAGGGGTCTATCGTTAAATTCATTAATCAAAAGACTTCTAATAAAAAAACTTTATAATTCTGGTTTAAACACCACATAATTAGTATAACAGACTAGCAGTACAACAGGAGAATTTTTTTTTTTCATTTTTGTTATTTTTTTAATGAAGATTCTAGAGCAACAATGAACGGTTAATTAATACTGGTCACACCAATTTTTTGTACGGATATATATATATATATATATATATATATATATATATATATATAAATATATAAATATATAAAAAGAAGGTAGACTTTTTTTTTAAATAATATTATTATATTATATATATGTAATGAATTTTTCATCAAATTATTTACTTAACTAAATTTCTCGTTAAATTATTTACTTAATTGAACATTTTTTATGTTGTACATGAAATTTGATTTTCTTTAAATCAAATTCCAACTTTAAATTTACCATTTTTTTAAATAAAATATATAATTAAAAATAATAAAATTAATATTAAAAATAAAATTTTAATTTTAAAATTTAAATAAATTTATATAAAAAATAATAAAAATAATATATTATTTAAATATATATTAAATATATTTAATATAATAATTAAAAATATTAAATAATAATTTTTTATTATATTTTTTTATTTTTGAATAGGAAATTTTAAATTTATATATTTTTTTATTATATGAATTATTTAAGTTATATTTTAAAAAAAATATTTTATGTAATATATTAAAAAATTAAATATTATATTATAAAAATTTATGTAATAGTTTTAATTTGATAAATTATAAATATTATATTAAAAAATTCATGCTAAATTTTTTTAAAAAATAATAAAGTAAAAATATTATTTAATTAGTTAAAAATTATTATTATTAATATAAAATAAACTTAAAAATAAAAAAGAATAAAAATTGACGAGAATTTAATGTATAATATTAAAAATAACATAATCATAATAAAAATTAAAAAATAAAATTATTAACGATAATGTTAAAAAAATTTAATCTCCAAAGTGGTGTCCAGTTCCACAACGAGGACGATGTTTATTACGTTTTAGATTTCGTTGGTGTGGTTGTTCTTGACACCACTTTAGAGATTAAATTTTTTTTAACATTATTGTCAATAATTTTATTTTTCAATTTTTATTGTTGTTGAATATAGAAGAAATAGAGTTTGAGATTAATTTCTCTTGTGTATAAATCACACATAGGGTAGTCTATTTATAATAGAGAGATACAACTAAAAGAGTAACTAAAAGTAACGAGAATAAACGGAAGATATTGTTTGATAGTGTGGTTAACAATATCTTAACAATATCAAATAATATCTAAACAATATCTAACACTCCCCTTCAAGCTGGAACATACAAATTGTATATGCTAAGCTTGTTACAAATATAATCAATTATAGGATCCCGTAAAGATTTAGTAAAAATATCTGTTAACTGATCACTTGAGTTAACAAACTCAGTTTTGATGTCTCCAAACATAATCTTTTCTCGAATGAAATGACAGTCAATCTCAATGTGTTTGGTCCTCTCATGAAAGACAGGATTATAACTAATATGAAAAGCAGCCTGATTGTCACACACAAGTGACATTTGAGTGACATCTCCAAATTGTAACTCTCTAAGAAATTGCTTTAGCTAAACAAGTTCACAGGCAGCTGAGGTCATAGCTCTATATTCTGCTTCTGTACTAGATCTTGCCACAACACTTTATTTCTTACTTTTCCATGAGACCAAGTTACCACCAATGGAGACACAATATCCAGATGTAGATCTTCTATCCGAAGGAGATCCTGCCCAATCAGTATCTGAGTAGTAAACAACTCTTGTATGGTTATTAGAATTATATAACAATCCTTTTCCAGGAGATCCTTTAATATACTTTAAGATACGAATGACTTCATTTCAATGATCTTCACATGGAAAATTAAGAAATTGGCTTACCACACTGACTGCAAAGGAAATGTCAGGACGAGTAACTGTAAGATAATTCAATTTTTCAACCAATCTTCTATACTGCTCAGGATCAGGTATAAGTTCTCCCTGATTTGGTAGAAGTTTAGTATTGAGATCCATGGATGTATCAACAGACTTTGAATTCATCAACCAGTTTCCTCCAAAATATTCATGGCATACTTCCTCTGAGATATAACAATATCTTCATTGGACTGTGTCACCTCAATACCCAAAAAATATCTAAGTTTGTCAAGATCTTTGGTCTGAAAATGGTGACAGAGATGTTGTTTCAACTGAGAGATGACATGGTTGTCACTACCTGTAAGAACGATGTCATCAACATATACTATCAAGTAAACACATCCAACACTTGAGTGTCGATAAAAGACAGAGTGATCTGCTTCACACCGAGTCATACCAAATTGTTGAACAACCTTATAAAACTTTCCAAACCAGGCCCTAGGAGACTGTTTTAGGCCATATAGGGATTTGCGAAGACGACATACCATCCCAGAAGACTCCCCTTGAGCAACAAACCTAGGAGGTTGCTCCATATAGATTTCTTCTTGCAAATCACCATTGACGAAAACATTTTTAACATCTAGTTGATAAAGAGGTCATTGTTGAAGAGCGGTCATGGCAATAAATAAACGAACAAAAGTCATCTTTGTCATGGGGGAAAAGATATCTCCATAATCCAACCCAAAAATTTGAGTATAACATTTGGCCACAAGACAAACTTTGAGGCGATCAATAGTCCAATCAGGTCCAACTTTGATAACAAACACCCACCTGCAACCAACAACAGATTTCTCAGACGGTAACGAGACCAATTCCCAAGTTCCACTATTATGAAGAGCACTTAGTTCATCTAACATGGCCTGACTCCAACCAGGATGAGCTAAAGCTTCACGGACAATTTTTGGAATGGTCACAGAAGAAAGAGAAGAAAAACATGTATAAAAAGATAATGACAGTCGATGATAACTCAAACCAATATAATGGGGAGATGAATTACGTGTAGAATGGATACCTTTTCGGAGGGCAATGGAAATGTCAAACTCAAGTATCACATCCGGAGGAGACAGAGTAGTTGGCACTTGAGTAGAGTCACATGGTGGTGGTTGTGATTGGTTTCAACAATTATAAACCTGAAGAGGCAGTGAAGAAGAAGCTGACTGCGGAGCAGAAACTAATGGTGAAGAAGACACAGTTAGAGGGTCACAAACAATAGGAACAATAAATGTACTAGGAGTGTTGACAAGATTGGATGGATATAGAGGTGAAAATTGACTTTTAAAATAAAAAGAGAACTCATCAAAGGTGACATCTGCAGACACAAAATAACGGTTAAGAGAAGGAGAAAAACATTTGTATCCTTTTTGTGATCTTGTAAACCCTAAGAAAACACATTTATGTGATTTAGGAGAAAGCTTGTCAAGACCAGAACTAAAATTATGAACAAAACATGTAGACCCGAAAACTCTTAGAGGTAAGGGATGAAGTGGTTCATGAGGGAATAAAATGGAATGAGGTATTTTATTATCTAAAACTGAAGATGGCATGCGATTAACGAGATAACATGCAGTAAGAAGAACATCACCCCAAAAATGCTGAGGAACCTCTCCATGAATTAAAAGAGTGCGATTTGTTTCAATAAGATGTCTATTTTTACGTTCAGCTACATCATTTTGTTGAGGTGTATAAGTACAAAAAGTTTGATGCAAAATACCATGAGAAGCCATAAATTGTTTAAAAGAATGAGAAAGATATTCACGACCATTATTACTCCGCAAAACTCTAATAGAAACACTGAACTGAGTTTGAATTTCATTGAAATTTTTTTGAAAGATATGATATAATTCAGATCGATTTTTCATCAAAAATAACCAAGTGCATCTGGAATAATCAATGAAAGTAACAAAGTATTGAAAACCTAAAATAGACTTAACACGGCTAGGTCCCCAAATGTCAGAGTGAACCACGGCAAAAGGGGACGAAGCACCATGTGTGAAACTACGAGGAAAAGAAGTACAACTATGTTTGCCTAATTGACACGACTTACATGCCAAACTAGACAACTTAGATAAGACAGAGACAAGTTGCTGTAACTTGGTAAGACTTGGATGACCTAACTGAGCATGGAGAAGAGAGAGAGACTCTATAATTGCACCAACATGTGTAAAGGGACGAAGATGATAAAGACCATGAGACTTACATCCTGTGCCAATCACCTGTTTCGAACTCCGGTCCTGTAAACACACAAAATTATTGGTAAAAGAAACAACACAATCAAGAGAACGAGTTAGACGACTAATGAATAACAGGTTAAAAGGAGACCCAGGGACATAAAGAACATTATCAATGGTTAAAGAAGGGAAAAGTTTAACAGTTCCAACACCATGAGATGATATTCTAGAGCTATCGGCCAGTGTAACAGAAGGTAAAGGATCAGAAGAGGATAAAGAGGAGAACAAAGATTTGTTACCAGTAATATGATCAGTAGCTCCTGAATAAAAAACCCAAGGACCGGAAGAAGATTGGGTCAGACCAGCAAAATATGTACCTGTGTGTGCGACAGACACAGTAAAACTAGAAGGTTGTTTATCCTGATACCATTTGAGAAATTTGTTGAACATAGCAGGTGTGTCTGATAAAATAGAAGGAGGAGGATCCTTAACAGATAAAGGTGGAAAAATATCAGTCTGAGCAACTACAGCAGATCGAGGAGGACGACCATGTAATGCATAACACTTGTCAATCTTGTGACCTAACTTGTCACAATGTTCACACTCATGTAATGCATAACACTGGTCAATCTTGTGACCTAACTTGCCACAATGTTCACACTTAGGACGCTCTTTTCCCTGTTTGCGAGGGCGAGTTCGGTCATCATGGTGAGATACCAATGCAGAAGAATCATTAACAAAGTAGGTGTGTCAGGGTTGGGTTTTGTTAGTATACGTAAAAGAGTGGAGCAGGTCGATGTAAAGGTGAGGACAATCGGAGAACTCAAAATCTGATCATGAATATGTGAATATTGATCAACAAGTACGTGTAATTCCCCTAGCATGAAGAACTTTGATCGTTGTGCTATCTCGGTGGCAGGGTCGGGGGAAGGAGGCAATAACTCATTGAACTCATAAAAAAGAGCATGAATTTTGCCCATATAATCAGTCATAGAATCTTGATGTTTAGAGGCAATAACATCTACAAATTTAGAACAGACATCATAGAGACGTTGAGTATCATTGGTGTATAATAACTTGGCATGTTCCCAGATTTTGGCACATGTTTCGTAGGAACGAAAAATTTGTTTTAACGAAGAATCAAGAGTACCCTTGAGAACCACACATAATTGAGCATCAATGGTGTCCCAACGGTTTTCCTCACCAGGAGTGAGAGTATGTGTTTTCGAAGCAAGATGATCAAGATACTTCTGACTCTTAAGCCATAATTTGACGTCTGATGATCATGTGACATAATTAGGGTCAGTTAACTTGTTAATGAATAAATGCACATTAACATAGTTAGTGTAGATGGAAGGATCAGACGCAGTACTGACAAAATTGGAAGTACTAAAAGGAGCGGAAGAAGTCATAAAGGACGAATGCGACAGAGGCGTTAGTGACAGCGGCGTAAACCAGTACACCAGGTAAGTTCATGGGAAAGAGAGGTGGGTCACTAATGGACACGCTTAAATATCAAGTCTTTCCTTGTCAGAACCTTCCTAGACATGCACTTTCACACTACCAAATAATATCCAGTAACAAAAATAACATTTTTCTGATGTGAAATATCAGTTTAACCGACAACAATAGCGACGATGGTGGCTGCTCCAACAGTGGTCAAAGACGAAAAAAAAATTTCAAAATAATCTTAAGTTCTACATACCATGTTGAATATAGAAGAAATAGAGTTTGAGATTAATCTCCCTTGTGTATAAATCACACATAGGGTAGTCTATTTATAGTAGAAAGATACAATTAAAAGAGTAACTGAAAGTAAGAGAATAAACAAAAGATATTGTTTGATATTGTGGTTAACAATATCTAACAATATCAAATAATATCTAAACAATATCTAACAATTATCAATGATTATGTTATTTTTAATATTATACATTAAATTCTGTCATTTTTTATTATTTTTTATTTTTAAGTTTATTTTATATTAATAATAATAATTTTTAACTAATTAAATAATGTTTTTACTTTATTATTAAAAAAAAATAATTTTAGCATGAATTTTTTAATATAATATTTATAATTTATCAAATAAAAACTATTACATAAATTTTTATAATATAATATTTAATTTTTTAATATATTACCTAAATTAAATTTTTATTTATTCTATCTTTTTATAAAATTATAACTTAAATAATTCATATAATAAAAAAATATATAAATTTTAAATATTCTATTCAAAAATAAAAAATATAATAAAAAATTATTATTTAATATTTTTAATAATTATTTAAATATATTTAAATAATTTAATATATATTTAAATAATATATTATTTTATTATTTTTTATATAAATATTATTTAAATTTTAAAATTAAAATTTTATTTTTAATATTAATTTTATTATTTTAATTATATATTTTATTTAAAAAAAAGTGAAAAGTTTAAAATTATGAAAAATGAAATTCTAAGTACAACGTTACAAAATATTCAATTAAATAAATAATTTATGATAAATTCAATTAAATAAATAATTTTATTAAAAATTATATTATATATATATATATATATATATATATATATATAATATAATATAATAATATTATATTAAAAAAAAGTAATCATTGAGAATTAACTTATAGAAATTTATGTAAATTGTCTTTTCTCTTTTTTTTTTATTTTTTATTATGGTATCAAAAACTCTTTTAAAGGTTCAAGCTTTTCTAGCTTACCTCTCTCATGGGCGATTCATGCTCCTCTGGAAATGAGGAAGAAGACATTTCACCTCCTCCTCCTTTTGTTGATCCTAGTCAAAATCCTTCAAACCCTTTCTACATACACCCAAGTGAGAGCCTTTCATCTGTTGTGGTTTCCCCACCTCTCTCTGTCAACAATTTTCAGTCATGGTCCCATTCCTTCCTAATGACCCTTATTTCTAAAAACAAGATGGGTTTTTTCAATGACGTCATCCCCATCCCAGAAACAACGATCCCTTATACTCCTCTTGGAAAGATGTGACACTCTATTAATGTCATGAATTCTTAATTCTCTTTCTCCTTCAATCGCTCAAAGTGTTGTGTTTTTTGAGCGAGCCACTAATGTCTAGACTGATCTTCGCGAATGTTTTTCTCAGGGAGATTTGCTTTGTGTCGCTGAGTTACAGGAAGAAATCTATGCTCTCACCGACTACTACACCTCTTTGAAATCACTCTGGGAAGAGTTGGACAACTATTGAACTCTAACCCCTTGTTCTTGCTCTGCTTTCACCTACCATTCACAGGATTTCATCATCCGTTTTCTGAAAGAACTTGACAATCGCTTCGTCATGGTTCGCTCACAAATCTTATTACTTAACCCTCTTCCCTCTATTAATCGTGTTTTCTCCGTGATAATCCAACATGAGCGCCAACATCATAACCCTTCTTCTTCTTCCATGGAAACCAATCCCTTCATCTTCTTGGGAGCCGAGTGTTCCCAAAGTTTCCTAAATCTTAATTTTCTCCTTCAAACTTAATTAATATTATATTTATAATTTTATTCTATCTCTTTTTAATTTATAATTCTTATATAATTTATGATATTGTTTGTTTTAATTTAATAAATTTAATATATTTAAATATATATTTATAATTTTATTATATTACTCACTTTTTAATTTATAACTCTGATATGTAATTTATAATTTTATTTTTTTTAATTTAATGAATTTAATATATTTAAATATATATTTATAATTTTTTTTTTATATTTATTAATAATATATTATTTATATTTATTAATAATATATTATTTAATCCAAAATATATTATTTAACCAAAAATGAATGATGTATCTAGTGAAGGCCGAGGCCGCCCAGAGCAACGGGGTAAAACAAACTCGCAAATGTGAATTCTGTGGCCGCCTCAGACACACTATTAATTCGTGCTTCCAAAAAAACAACATCACTCCGACAAAGTGCATCCATTGCGATCGTGCTGGACATAGCAGCGATGTGTGTTATACCAAGTTTGACTATCCTCCTAGACATCCCAAATATCCAGGAAAGTCACGCTTCTTCAACAACAAGAACACCTTTGGTGGCGGCGGCACAACCGTCGGAGGCACCATGAACAATGTTATTGCCTCTTCCTCTTCAGAAGTTGCACCGGCCCTAGAAGGAGAAAGGAAAGACACTTCAACTCTGGGCCAAGGTCTTCACATTACTATGGTCAAATTCCAACAACTAATGAGTCTTCTGAACAAAGCTTCTAGATCTGATGGGGAAAACTCAAAAATCCCTTCAAGGGTTAATCTCTCTCACTCAAGCCCAAACCAATCTCATAACTCCGGTTTTTGCAATAGGTTTATCTTTTCCATTAACATCACAAAAGCCTTACTTTCCATTCCTTCAAGCTGAATTTATCCAAGCTGTAGTTACAAAACATTTTTACACCTCCAGCTTGCGGGGGACTAATAGAAAAGTCTTATAATAGCATAACAAAATGGCAGCACAACAGAGGAACTTTTTTTTTTCTCATTTATGTTATTTCTTTTAGTGAACATTAAAATAATATAATGAGCTGTCAATATATCGTACATAATATGTTTTTATCCTCAATTAGGTCACACCAATTCTTTCATACAAATTATATTATATATATATATATATATATATATATATATATATATATATATATAATATGTAATCATTGAGAATTAACAAATAGAAATTTATGCAAATTATCTTTTCTTCTTTGTCTATTAACTTCTCTAAGATTATTATTTTAAAACAAAAAAACTAACAATCTCTCCTAAGTTTTTTTTTTTTAACAAAAGTTAATCCTCCCATATTCAATAAATAATTTCTCACTTTTTATTTTTAATTTTTTATATTTCTCTTAAACACCTTTCTAATTTACTATCATTTTTCAAATTAATTACTTTATGTTTATTTCTAGAAGCAACCTTTTGCTTTCTCTTTTTTATCATTCACTCCTTTTAGGATTTTGTGACTCATCCTACTGTTTTTTTTTTTTTTTGACAAAACTTACATACTATATTATATAGATAAGTTTATGAAGAAATTGAATACATGTTATAAATATTTATGATAATTCGCACATTTTATATAATGAGAATTGAGTTAAATCTTCTTAGAGTATAGGAAATAGAATGCATAAGAGAAAAATAAGTGAATGAAAAACAAGTGAAGTATATTTATTATATAAGCAAGATGTAATTAATATAGGTCCTTTTTTTCGTATGCACTCAGACTTATCATTTTTTTTTCATATAAAGGCAACTATGGTAAGAAAATGAAGAACAAATTTGAGTTTTTTCTTAGATATTAATATAATATATTTTAAAATTTATAAATATTAATTCAATTATAACTTTTTTTTTAAATACTGAATTTTTGTTAAGAGATAAAAATAAAAGATAAATAGATTAGAAGGAATAGACAATTAAGATAATGAAGTATAAATATATATATATATATATATATATATATATATATATATAATTGAGAAGATTTTTTTAATTAAATAAATAATGTATGAAATAAAGAGAAGATAAAATATGAAAAATAATTTAAAATGATAGTAATTTTACATTAGTTTTATAAATAATTTAATTATAAATATACGAATAAATATATTTAACCAGAACAAAATCATAAATATTCATTAAAACAATAAAACTTTTGTATTATAGTCCTTCAACTCTCAAACTCCGCTCCTATTTGTAATCTAATTTATATATTTTAAATTGTACTAGTTCATAATTTTATATTTCTAAAGGATTAATTTAAGAGTTGGCTAAAAATATCCTTAATTCACATTGGAAAAGGCAGAAGAATGATGGACCGAACGGAACAATAGTGGGCCTTTTATCTTTCACTCTCTATGGGCCTTTTTTTTTTCTGCCCTGCCTTGTGATCTTTCACATATTTTGACCTTTACAACTCTATGTAATTCGTTATGATGGTGTTCCGTCATACTGTATCAGCATCTAATTTAGCCAGGACAAGTCTTAGATCCCGTGCAAAATTCTTGCTCTAAGTGTGACACCTGCATATATCTCCAAGAAAAATTCAACTTCCCGCATGTAACTTTGTAAACAGTTTTGGCTGACTTGGGAGTCAAGAAAACCTTACAAATACCCCATTACTGCTCCTGCAATCTGGTTTGCAAGGAGTTAAACCATTATTCATGTCACAACATCAATCAAATCCACTTCATGCTTAGATCAGCATCAACAGAGAATTCAGCTTTTCGGTTTCATTCGTTCAAGACAAACAAAAAGTTTACCCTTTTGATAGAATTTTGGATCCATCACTGCATGCACCGCTGTCAGTTGAATCCATATCTGAATTTGACTGTGATTGAGCACGAGGCTGAGCTTGCAGGTACTGTAACAAACCTTTCCTCTAACAGTTTGTTGGGTCTTCAGCTGATATAAAACTGTTGCTTTTAGACTTATTTTGCCTCACGAAAGGCTACGTGTGATGTATAGTGGCTACTTGGCTGCACAGTTCCACGCCTACTCTTGGTAGAGACAGTGCCGTCGTGCTATTTGCCACCACTACCACCCTACGACCCTGCCCCTAAAAAATGGGCCATCAATCTATGCACAGTTTTTTAGATGACAAAAATGACAGTATTTTTGTCACGAAACAGTTGTCTCTACTGTCATCACCACTGCACCACAACTTCAGTCCCATGCTTTCATATACCAGACACCAATTCTTTGTACTAATTATTCAAACACACGCTTCTGCACCTCTGCCACGTTGAATCCGGATGGATAATTATGAGATAGCGAGAGAAGCTTTATTTCGAGAGTAAATTAAGATATATTTTCCAAATATAATCTGTTGTGCTGTTTTTCTAGATAAAAGAAATAATATTTTATATTCACAATCAATTTTCTTTTATACTTTTAATTAGAAAAAAAAAACAAAAACTACTTAAAATTTATTATAAAAATTAAGTTGAAGATTTAATTCAATAATTTAAAATTAATTTATTCAACTCATAAGTTAGATAGAGGCAAAGTTTACCTAAATTCAAACAGACTTGTGTCATCATAAATGGTGGAGTTCATAAATTGCATGTTAAATGTTGCATTTGTAAATCACATTGCTGGTTGACGCTTTGTTTGTTACATGAGTGTTCAAACTTTATTAAAAAATAATGAAAAATTATTTAAAAAATAAAATTGATTTTTTTTATATTTTTCCTAATCCTGATTATTAAAAATTAAAAGTCGAATCAATAGAATGAAATAATTTATTATATTTAAATATAATAATATATATTTAAATATGACTATATATTAAGGTATTTTATTTATAATTATTAAATATTTTATAACAATTTTAGAATATAATTTTTAGTTTATAAGATGAAAGAATTTATTTACAAACATAAAGAAATTTAAAATATAACAATAATTACATAATAAAAAATTGTATATATTTTTAAAAATATATCTAAATATTTTTATTTTTTATTTTTTTTTAATTTAAACTAAATTAAATCACATTGAATTTTTATATTTGATTTAAATTATTATTTAATCAATAATTAAACTAATATTACAAAAAAACTTAATTTATTATATTTCGTAATACATGTTTTAAAATAATGAAAAGTGAAAAATAAAATATTACTTTTTCATTCTACCATAAAAAAAAGATTTAAATAAAATGATGACACACTTTTTCATTAGTCAAAAGTTATTTACGTCATGCACTATAAAAGTTGTCCAAAAACTTTCAGGAATGTATACTTAGCAGTTTAAGTTTTTAAAAAACTAAATATAAGTCTTAAATTTATAAGATTTTCTTCTTGGAAGAAAAAGAGTTATGAAAAATTAAATAAATTAAAAATTAATTTTTATCACTTTTTATTTTATTAAAAATAAAAAATAAGGTATTTATATCAAAATAATTAATTTAAAAAATAAAAATAAAAAATATTATTAAATTTAAATTATATTAATAAAATTATTTTTTATTTAAGATATAATAATTTAATATATAATTATAAAAAAATCATTAAATCTAAAAAAAATAAGAGTTACAAAATATTTTTTGTTGTCATCTTTTATTTTTAATAATTTATTATTTAAAATAATAATTAATTTTAATATTAAACATTATAACGAGCGATTATTAAATACTTATTTTCATATTTATTATTTATATTTATGATAAGTAAATTATTTATCAAATTAATTTAAAATATATATTTTTAATAAAATAATATCATTTTTATTTTTATTTAAAAAATAAATATTATTCTATAAAATGGATTAACCTATAAATTTATGAACTAACTTAATCTAAACTATTATAAATTATAAATTATGAACTATATTAATTAAGTAAAATAAATCTTATTTAATTTATGTTACAAATTTTTAACATAACTTGTATTATATATATAAGATAATAAAATATTTATAATTAAAATAGTAATTATACTCTAATTATTATTTATAAAACCAATAACAATAAATAAAGACAGATTAGTTATAATCCAATATTTTTCTCTAGTATGTTTTCAAAGTTTTATGGTCAAGCTTCAGGTTTGTGTTCTAGCTTTCATTCTTCATCAAAAGTTCTTTCTATCATGATTTCTGTTCTCGTCCCTGGTTCTCATTTATTTTACGGGTTCTGTTTGTGCTTGTGATTTTTACTTCTGCTCATCATTCTTGCTTACGCATGTAGTTCTGTTCAAGTTTGTAGTTTATGTTCTAGTTTGTGATTCTTCAATCTGATTTATTTCGTCGCAATTGTTCCTCGTCGTCATGATTACTTTAGAGAAAGAGAACTTTCATATTCTATTCAATGATAATAATTATACAACTTGATAATTTCAAATCAAGACGTATGTCAAAAGAAAAAAAAATTATAAAATCATTTAGATGAGCATTACATACACACAACCTTAGATGCACAGAAGTAAAGATGTCAAAATTATTTACTGAATTCTTAATATTTTTTATCCCTAATAAATTATGCTCTTTAAAAAAATGCTCAACTAATATGACAATATTTGAAATAAATTTACAATTATGATAATAGAGTAAAATGTTTTCAATTGGAGTTGGATATGGTTGAATTATTGACAAGCGTACCAAAATTATCAATCGCAGTATAGTATTTGGATTAAATAAAAGTCGATCTCACGAGGAACAGTTTTAATGAAAATTCTCAATTATGCTTATTAAGTAGATTAAAACATATTGGTTTTTGTAATAAGAGTTGAATTAAAATTAAATGACAAAGAACTGTAAATTGTTGAGAAAATATCAATTAAAGGTACTTAGGATTGACTTCCTTCCTTATCACTCTTTTGTAATGGCTAAGTCAATTAAGAACGTCAATTAACCTAACAATGTTGACGCTACCTACTCAAATCATCCATGTTGATTTCTCACACATGAAATTCGTAAGAAAACCTAATAAATGTTGATTCCTCATACAATTAAGAGATTTTCCAGCATTAGGGTTAAGGTGTTAAGCAATTGATACATTCATTCCATTTCTGACAATTAACATAACAAATATTCTTATCGTGATCTAGGGTTTAAGATATATTTTCCAATCATACCCCAAACATTAAGAATAAATCATTCCAAAGCATAAAGGATAAGAATAACAACATCAAAACATAGATTAATATCTCAAAATATCACCATAATACAAAAGAGTTCAAAGGAAGTGCACCGAATCCTAAGAGAATGAAGTTAGCCACTCATGTTGGTTATTACAATGCTCCAATTGACGAAGAAGTGAAGAATTGATGAAGATTAGACGAAACTCTAACAGTAGTTTTGCCTCCTCTTCTCCAAGACTGCTTCCTTTTCTCAAAATACAACTTATCTTTTTATAAGAGAATTTGGGTCGGACCTCGCATCATTTATTCGCTTAAGTGCTATTCTTTCTTTCAATTTTACTCCAATTATGCTGACAATTATGCTCCTTACTCTTATATCAAGGTATTCTCGAATTTATCCTATATTGGGAGAAAAATATATTAGAATTAACATAAGTTAAGTGATTTCATAACAATTCAAGGCATAATTATATTAATTTTTTACCACTTAACAACTCCCCCCAACCTAGAATCTTGCTTGTCCCAAGCAAAGTAGTTTTTCCAAAACAAAATCATCGCCTATTATCACTTTCTCTTCCAGAACCACAACATAAAAATTTTCAGAGGTGATGCTCTTAACTCCAAATAAAAATAGAACACATAAACATTCAAGTTACAGAAATCAACAAAGAATAATTAGTCCTCAACTATACTCAGAGAAGCATGATCTCTCAAAAAGAGTTATATATACTCATATCTAATTCTCACAGGTAAGTGTTTATCTCATTCAATCACTTCATTTAGACAATCCAATATTGATAATCATCTTCAAGCAATCAACAATTGTTAAACAAGACTTAAATCAAAAGGTCTTTTGAGGCTTGTAATGAGACCGTGCTAAGAAATAATTATTGGTTTTTCTGGGATATACAAAAATATTTGAGAAATTCAACTCATATGAATGATTATTGATTAACAATTCCTCAAGTTTTGAGGTGTCAAACTTTATGTTTTTGTCACTAACACAATTACAGTGAGTTAATGATCTCACAAGTTATTATTCCCCCCTTGAACTACATTTCTATTTTTTTTCTCATGCTTTTGCATGTATTATTTTTGGCTTTGTCAAAAAAATTTTAAGCTCTGCTTTTCCTTTTTCTTTACACCATTTTTTTAAGAATACACCCCACTAATACTCATAGGACAACAATAATAATACCCAACATTAAGAAAAATAGTGACATTCATACTCATTTCCTTTCTCAAATATAGGAAGGTAGATAAATAATGTTTAGGCTTAAGGGTTCTGTTTAATAAACAATATTATTTTTGGCTCAGAAGGGGTTCAAATGGATGTCCTATAATTAATGCAGAGTTGGCTATTTGGCTCTGGGTTATATCTACTACAAAGAAAAAAAAATGTATTTATCATTTTCAAGTCTTGCCAACATATAATCACATCAAATAATCAACCAATATCAGTTATCATCACAAAATGTTGACATTCAATTTATCTGTTTGTGGTACTCTGCTCACCTGGGTTTTGGCTAGCTTCTCCAATTCAGTTAATTCCTAATTTTCCTCATCAATTCTTTCTCACTATCATACTCAATATCCCAAAATCACTTGTTTCCATTCTAGCATAGGTATGACGCCCTATGAGACACTGTATTAGAAAAAATATAGAACACCTTTATGTTGGTTTGAGACTGGAGAAAATTTAACCTTAGGTTCTGACATGATTCAATAAACCACAGAGAAAATTAAGATGATTTGGGAAAAATTAAGAACAACTCAAAGTTGACAGAAAAGTTATGCTAACAAGAAAAGACAACCCCTTGAATTTCAAGAAGGTGATCATGTATTCTTGAAGGTAACACTGACCACTGGAATCGATAGAGTAATGAAATCGAAGAAACTCACTCCTTGATTTATTGGTCCTTATCAAATTCTTAGAAAAATAGGTCTTACGTTTTACCAAATTTTCTTATGTCCTTTCCTTT